ATATATATATATATATATATATATATATATATATATATATATATATATATATATATATATAATGTGTGAGTGAGTGAGTGATGAATCATTACTATATATAGTTAATACATATGTATTATTGACAAGTGAAACATGTTCACTTAGAATTGTCCAATTACAAAAATCTACAATTATTTATACAGATATATTTAAAGAAAGCTCAAAACAATTTGATATACACATTTTAAATATATATTACAAAAAAGAAAGGCTAGATTAGCACACACTGTACAAGAGCGATACAATGTTTATTTAAATGTAAAATACAGAAAAAACGCGCAAATGTATTACACAATCATCTCTAATTCTCGGGCATAGTCTATCGCGAGGGCTGCCAGTTCGGAGCTCGGTATAGGCTCTTCAGACTTCTTCTCACTGGTTGTACTGAAGTAGAAATAGCCGTCCTTCGATAGATTCCAGTTCTTTTTAGAAGCGAAGGCTCTAATTTCCTTTTCCGTGCTCAAATTCAACATCCGTACGGCGTCCTGAATGGAAATTTTGTCGTACGCACTCTCCATACACGCGCCGATCTCATCGCGCACGGTATTCAGTAAAATATCTATGAAGAAATTGTAGGACGCAGCGGGCACATTACCCTTGGCCAAAAAGATCTTGTTGTATGAACCCTCCATCAAATACTGCTCCAAGCTTAGAGGATGCCTTATGTAGACGTTTGACTGTATTTGATCTGATGGCAACAACTCCAGCTCTGTGTGAAACTCAGCAACTCGGTTTTGAGATAACAGAAACAGAAGATTCAAACCGAGAAGCTGATACTTGTATGCTGATTCCAATAATCCAGACTTATAATCGAAATAATAACATTTCAGTTGCGCCATGTACCGTTCGAAAGAAGGTATATCTTCAGTTGCAATGCTCCATTGTGCTCCAATCTCTAATATGTCTCCTGTAATTCAAGCAAGTTTCAATTAAGATCATAATTATACTTCAAAACATTGTTAAAGTTTGAGGAAATCAAATAATGGATATAGAGGAATCTATAAAATTCCATATCTTCTCTATCATTCTGTTTTTGATACTGATCTATTTTAATTATAAAGATTATATTTCTTAGAGTACATTATTATATAATATTAATATTATTAATATTAAAATAAGAGATACATACTGGCAATAAGCAATTCATTTTGACTAGCAGTGCTGTTTGACGTCGGAAGGAACATCAGATGAGTGAGGCCAATCTGCACAAGATAATTGTGATTTAATTATGAACATTATATGTTTAATCATTAAGCTTACACACATAGACATATCTAAAAGCAAAGGTGTCAACGGCAATAATCATTATGAAGTTTCGTGAGAAGCAATGACAATCCATTTTGACACCCCATAAACACGATGAGGTTATAACCAAGATATTTTATCAATGATTACTTCTTTTCACGCTATAAATAAAATGCTTAAATTACCTTTAGTTGATTGAGCAATTCGCCACATTTTCTCAAATTACACGGGGTTTTTGTCCATTCTCGTTTTAAGTTTTGATATAAAGAGACAACATCCTTGAGAGCCGCCATTTTTTCTTCTACCATGGAATAATCGAATAATACAGATGCATCACGAATAGTTCGATTCTGCTAATATCGATTGCGGACGGATAATGGAGAATTAAAACCGGTTTATGATGGCCGCTCAATGACGTATGTATATACACCAAGCATTCTGTCCGCAAAGTGAAGCAAAGTGAAGAAGTTGGCAGTTTAAAACAGAGTGAGAAAGTCGATTTGCCTTTAATATAGAGTGCTTTCTCACTCTATATTATTGACTGTCAAGGCCATCACACACAAAATTCCGTAAGAACTTAAAACGTAAGAGTAAAGAAATCGACCAATCCCAATCGAGCACTCGGCTCTTCGTAACCCCTCCATTATTACGAAGAGCCGAATACTCGATTGGGATTGGTCGATTTCCTTACGCTTACGATTTAAGTTCTTACGGAATTTTGTGTGTGATGGCCTTTAAGAAGGAGGGTTCATTTAACACTGCAAATACTTTAAATAAAGCAAATACTTTAAATAACGTTAAATAAAGCAATGTGATTGATCCATTCGTCGCTCTGAAGCACTTACAGCACTAAACCTTATCCAAGAACTGTATCCCGTCATACAACCTAACCTAACTTTTTTCATGTGACAGTAGAATGAGAACAGGATAAGAGCAATTGCTGTGATTATTTATACACAGCGTAAAATATTATAAATATCAATTTTATATCGAGATAAGTAAAATATACGGTTTTATTCTTTTAATTCTGCACTGCATTATATATAGCACTTGACAGCTTGACAGCGGCCATGTTCTTTCTATACGATAGAATGAGAAAGCACTAGGGGCAAATCAACTTTCTCACTCTTTTAAACTGCCAACTTCCGGCTTCACTCGCTGCTTCACAGCAGAAGTATAGGAATGCTTGGTCTATGTATTACGTCATTGGCTTGGTTTATATCGTGTACTTGATACGTGTACTAAATAGTAATTTTCTATTAGATAATCTTAATATCGACAATGCATATCAACGGCGACGCATTCAATCAATACAATACGTTTTGTTGATGAGTATTATACCAACTTAATATACCGTTGTTTTTATATATCGTCGATATTAAGATTATCTAATAGAAAGTTACTATTTAGTACGCGTATCAAGTACACGATGTAAACCACACCATTGAATCCGTTAACTTATGCCGGAACCGTAAAAAATTGACCAATTACAGTCGATTATTCTTCTATAATTCGACTATGATTGGTCAATTTTTTATAGTTCCGGCATAAGTTAACGGATTACGACCACCATAAATCAGCCTTTAGGCTGATATTACATGTGTCGTACGAGGATAGGACTCGATTGACCACGGTACGATTGGACACAGATTGTAATGATTGGTTCGACCTGGTAATTTACTAGATAATTCTTTGCATCGGTTGGTTGTGTCCAATCGTACCGTGGTCAATCGGGACGCTCCCATCGTACGACAAGCTTTTCGGATACGTTCATTGGTTGACGAAAAAAGAACCTAGAAATATTCTATTCGCCAACGTAAAACGTATCCGAAAAGCTTGTCGTACGACACATGTAATACCAGCCTTATAATGGAGAATTCATTACGTTCAACATCAACGTTAATAATACGATTAATACGTTAATGATACGTTAATAATCCAATAATATAGTTCCTTTGCTAGAGTTTTTAGCTAGCGACATTGGGCACGTTCAGCGGAAAAAGCGCTCAGTGAGCAATCAGCGATTATTGGTTCTTACTTCTGTTAAATACCTAAATCTAAATCAATTACATTGGCCGCGTTCAGTAGAACAAGTGATCAGTAAGCGCTCAGGGAGCTCTTGTATATGATTTGGCATATTCTTTTAGATCTCCAACTATACTCCAATCAGATGCAAGAGCTCACTGAGCGCTTACTGATCACTTGTTCTACTGAACGCGGCCATTGACGAATTGCTCAACTGTTGAGTTTGCTGAACGCACCCAATGTCAATCCTCCATAAACTTATTTGCATAACAAATAAGTAAGTGTAATCGTAAAGTTTTCCGGTCAGAGTTTGACATTTCCTTATTTTTAATCGAAAAATCCTCAATTGTTTTAGTGTCTAACACGGAATTTCAAGTTAGATTGCTCCAAATTAATAAGTTCTTCTATTGGGAAGATGTCATCTCTCATAGGATATCGCACGTAATCTGAGTCCGCCCTTAAGGTCTGTTCTTTGCACCTGCTAAACTGGTGCAATAAGTTAGAGTGAGAAAAAATATACTTGTCTCACTTTAACCTATTGCATCAGTTTAGCAGTGCAACTATAAAGAACAGACCATTAGTTTCACAGGCGGCTCACTTCGTGCTGTTTCTCGCATTCAAGCAGAGCGATCTTTACCGGCCTTTCGCTTCCTCTTCGCGTGACTGGATACAATGGCGTCTGGAGTAAGTGACTTTCACGCGGATTTTCACCTTTCGGCATCGACGTGATGGCACGGCGATATTGTTGCCAGATTGCACAAAAATGAAGCCCGATTAACGTATCAACCGTGGTACCTTTCATTTTTTTCAGACCCTCTACACATACCCGGAAAACTTCAGAGCCTACAAGGCTCTGATAGCGGCCCAGTTCTCTGGCGCCCGGATCAAAGTCGCTGAGGACTTTGTGTTCGGCGAGACTAACAAGAGCGAGGCGTTCTTGAAGAAGTTCCCGTTGGGCAAGGTAAGCTTCGTCCCCATCAACTATTGTTCAGTTTTGTGCTCTTCATAAATGTTTTACCATTTATAGTGAAACAGCTGACATTCTTCTTGTCGCACGTGATAAAGGAAAGTATGATGCACATCTGTTCTTTTAAGTTGCAACGTGTTAATCTTTTTGTACTCAAAATCAGTGTGTACTTTGGCATAAAAGAAAAAAGGAAAATTGAAAGGAAAAAATGCATAAAGTTTAGCTAAAAAATACTTTTGTTTCATTTGTAATAAGTTATTATAAAGTATTGTTCTAACTATTGTGCATAATAGTAATGCAATAGACTACTGATATAGCAGTTAAACTGCATTGTGCAAAATTTTTAGGTGCCAGCATTCGAAACATGTGATGGCAACTGTATTACAGAGAGCAATGCAATTGCTTTCTATGGTAAGATTTCATCTTTTGAATTGTAATAAACATCTTTGTTTATTTAGACATTATATTAATAGATTATATTTGTTAAAGAGAAAATAAAAAACACATAATTTATTAATAGAAATTACATTAATGGAACATATAAGTAAAAAAAATATATATATATTTTATATTTACAGTGGCCAATGAACAACTAAGAGGAAAAACTGACATCGAACGCGCATTGGTTATCCAATGGCTTGATTTTGCTGATTCTGAAATTCTCCCTGCTAGTTGTGCTTGGGTGTTTCCTTTACTTGGAATAATGCCGTATCATAAGCAGGTATTACTGCAAATTCTTTATATATCGCTTGTACTTCTTGTTTAATTTAACATATGTATAGTTAAATATATCCTCCTTCAAAGGCAAACTTAGCGTATTTCATAGCTATCTTTTGTAACTCAAGGAGGTAAATTAAAACTGAGCATATTATGTTTACATGTGCATATATACAGTATATGCAATTACAATATTGCATACATTTATAACATATAAAATTTATCTTTGTATGATTATGTTATCATTACAAAACTGATACAGTTAATATTAATATATTTTTTAAATTATTTTTAGACTGTCGAGCATGCTAAGGAGGATATAAATAAAGTGCTCACTGTCTTAAATTCGCATTTGCTTACACGAACTTACTTAGTGGGCGAGCGGTTGACTCTGGCAGATATTTGTGTAGCTATGACGTTGTTACACTTGTATCAGTATGTTCTTGAGCCAGAGCTACGTAAGCCCTATCAGAATGTAAATCGGTGGTTCCAAACGGTTATTTACCAACCTGAATCCATTGCTGTCATTGGTGCCTTTAAATTGGCGGACAAGACTCTCGAATATGATCCTAAGAAATTTGCGGAAACCCAGGGAAAAGTTAGTATTTGAAAAATATGAAATTATATAAATGGAAGAGAGGTATTTCGAAAGTGTCATAAACTTGCTTTTATTGTTCATGAAGGTTTCAAAGAAAGAGAAGAAAGAGAAAGAGTCCAAGAAGGAACCAAAAGAACCTAAAGAGTCGAAGAAGGAATCTAAGACTTCAGACAAGGCTCCAGTTGCAGATGAGGATGTTGATGCAACAGATGAGGCTTTGGCTGCTGAACCGAAAAAGAAAAATCCCTTCGCTTCGATGCCTAAAAGCTCCTTTGACCTCGATGATTTTAAACGTTTTTATTCAAACGAGGATGAATCTAAGTCTATTCCATACTTCTGGCAGAAGTTTGATCCAGAAAATTATAGTATTTGGCTTGGTGAATACAAATACAACAATGAATTGACTAAAGTATGTAGGCACGTTTATTTTAATGATGTTTTTCGAAATCTGTTGTTGAATAATGTTTTATATTAACGTTTATACTTTATTTATGCAGGTTTTCATGTCTTGTAATTTAATTAGTGGTATGTATCAACGATTAGATACTATGAGAAAAGGTGCATTTGCTAGTGCTTGTATATTCGGAGATGATAATGACAACACCATCAGTGGTATTTGGATCTGGCGTGGACAGGATCTTGTTTTTACAGTATGTCTTGATACAAATACAGTTTTATGTGTATACACATATATACACTCATACACATATACATCTACATACGTACACGCTTCTTTTTTTTCTTTAAAGCTGAGTCCAGATTGGCAAGTAGATTATGAATCGTACAGTTGGACAAAACTGGATCCATCGAAGGAAGAAACCAAGGATTTGGTTAAGCAATATTTCAGCTGGACTGGCACGGACAAAGATGGACGCAAGTTTAACCAAGGAAAAGTTTTCAAGTAAATCTTGATACGTGCATCAAATAAACGAAAAATTCTATTCGCATGAAATAAACCTAAAAAAAATGATAAAATATATCGCAAGAGAGTTTGTACACGTCCTTCAAAAATCCTGTATTTGATAGGATAAAGCAGCATCCGGGATCTTTCGCCTAAGTATGTTCCTTTTTCTCGATCTCTGTCATGTAATATGCATCGTCTAGTTTCCAAACGTCGAAAAATTTCTTCAAAAGTATATGAAAGTATCGTAAAGTCTCCTATTGTGAAGAAATATCTAGAGTTCGCGAATTTTTATCATTAGGATATCGCATATTTATTTTGATATTCCATACACGCGTGTACACAAACACACACACTTAATTTTTTATTTAAATCATCAGTATGTTTGGTCACTTAGTTTGAGTTATTACTAGATTATTTTACAAAAATGTGTGTATGTAGAACGATACTACAGAATCTTGGAACAAATGTATCATATACACGTGCACGTGGAGAAAGAGAACAAAGACTTATGCTTTGAGCTCTATGTTAAGCTTATGAAAATGTAATTATTTTACCAGGAATATATGTGTAAATTTGTTACGATTATTATTTATATGTGTAACACTGTGCATCCGTCTCAGATTTTTTCATTAATTTAAGATTATCAGATGTACAATACGTACATATATCACATTCTTGACGTTTTAAAAGCGTGTACGAATAATTTCTTTGACATTTACATAAGCATATATTTTCAAACTAATAAAAATAATGTTGAAGAATGTTAAAATAATGCCTCTTATCTTCTTGATAAGTTTTGGATATCAATGAAAAGGTAACGTGATATGGTAATTGTTATTGAAAAAAAGAGTTATCAATCATCTTGAAACACTAAGTAAATAATTGAATAAGTAGGTGATAGACCATCCACACACATATATATATATATATATATAAAAGGTACAGTGATATATATTTAGCAACAAAGATTCATTATTTTTTCTATATTTACAGTAAATAACAATTTATTATTAAACGTAAGGGCTCTTAGAACCCTTTCATTTGCAACCATTCCTTAATACGGGACACATAGTCTCCTTTAAATTTAATTATACCCGCAAACTCGTGTATCTGAGTACCGATAATACGTTTGAATTCTCCATAGTTCTCTAAATAAGTTCTTAGATCATGCTCTAATGTCCAGATGTTTCCTTCAATTTTGTTAACAACTGTAATCTTTCTCATTCCTCTGTGCGTTATTTTCAGATACACAGGAAACATGTAATTTCTTGAACGATTTATAAAATATGGATAATCTGTTGGTGAAGCTATCAAACAGATCAAAAGAATAATTTTTCAGAAACATAGACTGTTTAAAAACATTTCTTTAAGATGAAATAAGATGAAATTTAAGGCATATTTAAAAAGATTTTACCAAGTTGTGGTTTCCAACCAGATGGCAACTCAATATTTCCAGTGGGTGGTTTAGGTATCGTTTTGTATGGCAGTAAACGTTCTACATATTTCCATTCATTTGGATCTTTAGTTATCTCATAATTTGTGTAATCCTCAGGTTTTGTATATATAGGAGATGATTTATAGCTGCTCCACCTGTGTTGAGTCTAAAACAAAAATTATAGCAAGCCATACATTGATGCAATAGTTTTAACAAGCAACATTGAGTACGATCCAGCAGGCACTGCAAATGCTTTGTAGCGTTTTTACTTCTTTCTCTTTCTTTATTCGAATCTGATGAATAGAAAAAGGAGAAATGCTACGCAGCATTTGTAGCAGTTGTTGGACCGCACTAATTGTTACATATTAAATAAATATGTTAAAAGCTACTACAATATTGGTACATAAAATACAAGAAATTTATTATTTTTAATAGCTTTGAATAGTACAAATTTCTTGTATCTTATTGCATATGTAGCAGAAAAAATATAAAATGAAGAGCAAATGGCAATTGTTGCGATTATCCTGAACTTTGGCGATTGCTAGTCTATATGATTGTATACTTTTCAATGGATATGACTGTCTAAATAATCACAGATTTTTAAATTATGCGTGCTCCAGCGTGGTTCCTTATTAATGAACAATGTTTATAGGTTAGCAACTGTCGCATACGATCGGTGTGACGTTTTCTCAGATATTAATCAAATTGACATAATTTATTCGGCCATTTAATAACAGGTCATGAGTTTGGTCGTGTTAAAGAACACCAAACATGCTCAGATAAGTGGCGTTTAAAGTGAAGCAAACTTTTTATCACGTGCTGCTCCGCGCAACTATATCCATACCGCGTATGGACTGTCCGTAACAATCGTGCGTTATCCTGTCACTATACTTTCTCGCGTATAACAGTGCGTTTATCAATGCATAGGTGCGATCGATGGAAACCGTAATCATGACACGAAGATTCCGAGAGAGCCGAGAACAAGAGTAAGAACAAGCACGTTGTTCGTGACGTCTACATGAGAGGCCCTTCAGCGGCGTCGTGTCGAGGTAACAGCAACGGGACGGCGTATTCGCGAGCGAGTGAAAATTGTTACCTGAGCGACAACGGGCGCGATCGCGCGAGACCTCGTCGCGGCATGGTTCAACGAACGACCGGAGCTCAGAATCGCGTTGAGGTTGACGCGTGCGAAAATTCGAAGGGCGGCCATTTTGGGACTTCGGTAAATAAGGGTCCGGCCGCCATTGATGCGCACGTACGACGGGCGCGTCTTCCCTTTCGTGCTCTCTCTTTCTCTCTGTCTCTCTCTCTTGTCGCGGCCGATCGCTGGGTAGTCCTCGTGCCGCGGCTACCCGCGTACCACCGCGCGCTGCCGCTGACGTTCATATCCTCGGCCGGGTTTGGGCCTCCGTGGCCGCTACCGACGACGAGGCGATTCCGCTTTAGGTAGGTGAACGCGGCCGCGCGCTCGCTCGGCTATACGAGGCTAAAATCCGCGCTGTAACGCGAGGTCAGTTAGCGCGCACGCACCATAGCCGAGATCGGCGAGAAGCGCCAGGCTAGACGAGCGAGACAAGACGAGGCGAGGTGAGGCGACGCGAGCCGAGGAGAGGCGAGACGTGACGAGACGTGACGAGACTGGGCGAGGTGAGGAGAGGAGAGCGGAGGAGGTGAGCGCTCTGTAGCCGCAGCGGTCGCCGCTGCCGCCGCGCCGTAGCTCTCATTTTCACGGCGGCGTCGCGACGCTGCCGGCGGTGCGCGCGTGTTCCTTTTTTTTTCCTTCGGAGTCGCGGCCGAACACGCGTCGTGCCGTGTAGTGCACGCCGCGCCACGGTCCTCTAGTTTGTTATTTCTACCGGGTGAATCGCAGGCGCGCGCCGCGCGCAGGGTTGCACTTTGCGGTGAAGTAACGCGCGCACGGCATTAGCGCAAACAGGCTATGCGCCTGGGAGAGGTCGCGCGGTTGGGCCGCCAGGTGGCGGTAGGCTGAAAACAGTAGGACGGCGTACACCCTGCAACGGGACCGTCTTTTTCACGGGGATTGTCGTCCGCGTTTTCTCGCGATCACCACGGACCTACGGCAGGATTTTCGGCCCCCGAGGTGAGTACTCCTGTCCGGGCTGCCACAGGCCCCGCAATCGGCCGCCGCCGTGGGCTCGCCGCGCCGCTCTGGAGCCTCCAAAATCCGAGTCGAGCGCGACCTTTTGTTTATTCGTGGCGATTTTTTCGCGACGACTTGTCGCGACGATTTCACGGCTTTCCGGCGCGATCCCGACCGGATTTTCGCGCTCGGCAGTTAACATGTGGCACGCGCTTTCTCGCGGCCGCGGAATCGCGACGATCGGCCCGCCGTGAGCCGAGATATCGCGTGAAATATTTCACCGTGGCGGTGGTATACCCGTGGTCGCGCAGCGCAACGAGGCGCTCGCTTCGTGTGTCCGTGTGTTAATGTGAAGTTTGTCACGTAATTTTTCTGGCGGCCAGGGCCGCATCTATCAACCCCGTCGTCCTGTCCGTGCCGCGCATCAGCCACCGGACGATAAGGATCGTGCGCTTTTCTTTGCTCGGCGTCGTGCTCGTCCGAGCGCGCGCGCGCGCGCGCTTTTCCTCGTCCCTATCTCCCCTTTCGCGACAGGAAGGTGTTTGCCTCTTGATCATACTCGCAAAATCCATGCGCTGCTTTCGCGTCGCAAAATTCGCTCGCGCGCACGCTGCTTGCCGTCGTGAAACACGGTTTTTGATTTCGCCATGTTCACTTTTGTGTGAAAACTTTCTTTACCTTTTAAACGAGTCTCTATCGGTGCGTAATGTTTTCTTCTTTTCTTTATTATATATTCAGGTTTTCTAACATGGGACACGTTACTCTTCGTGCAGTTTTTCTTAATATTAGAATATTCCTGAGTCAATTCAGACGGAGAATCGTTTGATACGTAGATTATTACGTGATAAAATTTTGTTATAAACATTCGACAATAAACAAATGCACTTTTCGATAAAGAGACAGCGCCTTAGAGGATGTAAATGATATTGCAGGAGCCCAATGTGGGTGGAAGTGAGATGGCATCCAGGGAAAAGAAACCCTTAGCGCCTTCCAAACTGAAACAGAAGGCGAGTAGTGACTCTGGCTTGCCATCCAATGAGGTCAAGAATAAAAAGGGCAAATCTTTGCCAAGTATAAAGCAGCAGCAACTTGCGCGAGAGATTTTTGATACGGTAGCAACAGGTAATCAGCTCTCAGCTAAACTAGAGGCGAGCTTGCCACGCAAGAAGGCTCTGAAAACTCTGAAGCGCAAACAGAACTTGAGAGTAGCCAAGGCAAATCTCATCAAGTCCAAGGTTACTAAAAAGGTGACAAACAAGAATATACGCGGGATACCTTCTAACGTGAAGAAGGCTGTGAAAGCAAGGAGAGTTAAGCAGTGCGAAGAATCAACCGTCAGATCAATTGGTATTGCTCTGAGGCTTTCGGAGAGTCAGACAAACAGCGGTGACAACGAAGGCAAAGGAACTGAAACACCAAGTAAAAGTGCCAAGAACAATCTCAGGACCAAGAAGACCAAATCTACATCTTCAAGGAGTGTAGGGGAATCAGGAAACGAAGACGTACAGGACACAGAGGAGGCCAGTGTCGCAGCCAGCACAAAGAGTAGCCCTAAACTTGGCAAGAAAAAAGCAATAGAGAGCACTGACTCTTTATCCAAGAGTGCCAAAACAGCAAAGTCGGCGAGCCTGAAGAAAAATAGCATCAAGGACATTGTTGTAAAAGTAACAGAGCAAAGTGACAGCAAGGGTGCTAAGGGCAAGAAGAGCACTGGCAAGGAATCAGATTGTGGTAATAGCGTCAAAAGCAATACTAGCATTGAAAAAGTGACAAAAGTCGTTTTGGATAATAAGAGTTCTATTGATCTTACTATAGACGCAGTTATTGCCTCAATGTTGAGTGACTCTGAGACTGACAGTCAGCAAAGCGTCACGGAGAAGATTGAGGGAAAGATAACGAGAAGTAGGAAGATGTTGGTGGACGAGAATATCGCCGCCGACGTTGAAGTCAAGAAGGAGCCTGATACCGAGGACACGAAGGTGACGTCAGATGGGGAATGTACAGAGGCGGATCAAGGACTTCATCTGCAGAACGCGATCCAGTTGAGGAAGAGATCGTCGAAGTTACCATCGCTCAACCACCCGATCGACCAAGTATTTCAGAGCAGCTTGCGAAATGGCAAGCAACGTCATTTGTCAGATTCGGGAAATTCCACCTCGGATCTCGATCCCAGAAGACGTAGACTCAATTCAGACGGGCCTCCTGTTTCAGATAATTCGATAGAACATATCTCAGAATGCGGTGTAAATATGGACTCTTGCTTGTCGGATCCTAGCTGCAACGAATCTCAGACCACCGTAGCGTCGACTAAGGAGGACGTTTGCTCGACGAAGGATGACGATGTGTCCAAGAACTTCGATGAGAACGCTGAGACCGCATCGGAAATCGAGAATAACAATAACAGCGATCGCATGGACAGAACGGGCGAGATAGGGCCGACACTGCGTTCCAAGACCAAGACAAAAAGTACGGAGAATGAAGCAACGAAGGACGACAATGCCAAGGCGGAGGACACGTGGGTATCATCGAAATGCGTAGACGCGCAGGACGATTCAAAGAAACTTAATAATTTAGACCAAGCTAGAAAAGACAGTATTTTAGCGAAGCTCGGAGATAAACCTAAAGGCCGTAGAAATAGTTTAAACATAGATATGAAGAAGACCGTTAACTCTTTTTACAATGCAGACAAATCGGACACTGCTCCGAAGGCGCCGATAGATAAAATTATAGAAGGCATTAAATTAACTATCGTCAAGTCCATCGAGGACAAGATCTATCGTCCCGGGTTGAGCAAGAACTTCGATATGCCCAAGAGTGAGGAAGTGATTGCACCACTCAGCACGGAGTCTCAGAAGTTGGGACTGGAGGAGAACACCGACGAGGACAAGTCCATCGTTACGGAAAACGAAAGCACATCAGAGAGCTCGGAAAATTCAGTACCAAAAGTGGCCGATACTGCCAAAGAGATTGAGAAACTAGTCATGTTTGATATTGAAGAAGCAGAGACACATTCGCAGAACACTCAAGAGAATAAAGCCTCTGGTAGCGACAGAATTCACGATGTACATAATACCTGCGAGTCTACGTGTAATATAAGTAGTAATAGTGGCACATCTTGCAACAACGTGAATGAGTCCGAGGCGGGAAGCGTTGGCTGTAGTACGGCCAACGACACATCGACCAATATCAGCGATAACGATTCCAAGTTATCGGACGAAAACAAGAAGGCCGTCACTATTACCCGCAAATCCCCGAGGATCAGTGACAAAAGTTCCGACAGCGCTGGCAATTCCGAGACGAGGAAATCGAATAGAACACCGAACAAAGTAGCCTCGAAGTTGGACAATGCGGACGTGGACACGCAGAAACCTTCGAACGAGGACATAGTTGCTTGCGACTCGCCGAAAGAGGACACGGTGTCTCACCAGCATTCGGATGATAACGCCGTATCCTCGCCGATACCTGCATCTTCTGAGCAAACAGAAGAGAGCTTGCCAGAAGAACACTCGCAAACGAGGAGCACGGAAGAGTCGGAAACTGAAATCTCTCTGAACGTTTCCGGTGACTCGGAGGAGTCGGAAACGCTGGAAAGTATATCGCGCGAGGTGGAGAGACTAGTAGCGGGAGATCAAGTTGTTAGGTCGCCGTCGAGCCCTGCGAACGACGCTACGCAGAGCGAAGAGGTGACTCTCGATGTGAAAGACGAGGAACACGAGGTTCCAAATAAACACGAAGCATCTGCTTGTCGCGATGACAATTTCACGACGTCGGGATCAGCGGCCGACGTCGCGAACGAGACGTCGAGCAAGAATCGTGCGGATGGGAAACCTGTCGACGCGACTGAAACGTTAAAGGAGAATGATGCTCCCGATGAGACGGCGCAAGACGTGAAGCATCATAAGACTAGCAATAATCCCTCGTCAACCACCACAAACTGTGATTCAAATAGTGAATGTAGCTCTGTAAATCCTGTGCCTACACATACGTGCACTTCCGGTCGGCGGGAGGCCGACGAGACCGAGGAGGGTGGCAAGCCCGATCAAGATAGCAGCAATTGCAAGGAGGCCAGCAAGCCCAATAACAACTCAGTCGCGAATTGTGATACGACAAGAAATACGGACGAGAATGTCTTGAATCAAAAATCAGGACACAGCGACACAGCCGCTCCGATAGCGGACGAGAGCAATAAGTCGTCCGATGAGCAGAAGCCAGTCAACGATGAAAAAAACAGGAGAGTGTTGCGGGCCCGCGACAAGCAGAAGAAGGTTGAGAGCAGGCAAGCGAGTCGCAGCCTGTCGCGCGAACATATCGACAACAACGTGAAGGTCAAGACGGAAGTTCAGAATACGAGTGTGGACAAGGTAGACGTCGACGAAGTGCAAGATTCGACGCTGGACGAGACGAGCGTGCCTGAGAGCTCCCAGAAAACGGAAGACACGAGCGACTCGCAGAACAATAACGAGGATGTTGATTCCCTCGAGCCACAGAGTCGCACTCGTCGCAGTAGAGACGGCAAGAGACGCAGGGAGGACCCGCCACCTCTGACAAGTGGTTTGAAGGCAAAGCGCACCAAGCGAGACCTGCGAAAATCCGATCAGCAGAACAAGGAGGAGACGCTGCTGGACAACGAAGTTGCCAAGATCAACGAGAACAACAGATCCTTCCGCAAGTACGGCGGCAGCGCCGGGGAGCGCACAGCGGACAGCTTCTGCAGTTACTTCGAGGAGGGTGCGCAGGATGGACTCGACAAGCTCGAGAAGAGCTCGAACTTGCGCAGCAAGTCGGAGAATGATCTTACGATCGCCGTCGACGAAGCCGGCAAGAACGAGGAGCGGCTGTCGCGCAATCTGTCCGAGAATCACGTGTCGAAACGGGACGACGATGTGGACCTCTTGGCGAACGCGTGCAAGACCCTCAAGACGCCGGAGGCGAACGCGCAGAAAGACTTTGACGAAGCCTCCACGTCCGGCGAGTCGTCGAACAGCGGCACACCGAAGATACTGGAAACGCCCGAGGACAAAGCGAAGAAGGAATCGATCTTGCGTGTTCTGGGCTTGGAGTCTCTGGAAAAGGCTGCCGAGCGGCTGAATCATCAGAAGGCGCGGAAGGAGCAGTACACGGGAACGCTGAAGACTATCATCAGAGTGCAAAAGGAGAAGGACAAGGACAAGAGGGGCTCGCGATCACCCTTGAAAATGGTTCTCAAGCAGCAAGGTCGCGGGGATGGAGAAGGGGACTCACCCGAATTCTACACCATTCAAAAGGAGGTGAGGATTCAGGCTCCTGCGAGCTCGACAGAACGTAAACTCATTCGCTTACCGTGCAAACTCTTTACATTTCTCGGTCTTTTCTCTTTTTTTTGTGATTTTTTGTGGTCTTTCTCTTTGTTCAGTTTGAAATTCTTTAACAACGACCGCATCTAATTATCAATGACGAGAAAGTCTAGTATTTGTTTGCCTCCTTTTTTTTTTAATTGAGAGAGAGTTGTTGGCGATATTACACGGATGTAAAAGCAGTAAGCCAATGGGTTAATTTGATATACTTGTATATTTTATCAATCATTACGTTTTGTTTCTTTTTTTTTCAGTTTGGAACCAGTGGTTTGGGAGATAGCAGCTCTGGTGCGAACCGAAAGTTCACTACTAACCACAGACACTCTTGCGGTAATCCTGGTTGCGGGAATAACTAAAATTGATAATCTCACTTACTTTTCCTCCACTGCTTTGTCCGAAAAAAAATTTTTTTAAACTCTAAATGGACGGTTATTGAGACTAGTGCAGTGTAGTGAGGATCGTTCACATTAAAAGATTTATTACAATATCTCGGCATAATTAATGTCTGAAATTGTTAACGCCGTATTTCATTCTCATATTTTTCTCTCAACGTTCTTAAAGTTACTTATGCTTAATGTAATTTAAAAGAAAAAAAAGATATAATGCAATACGCATTGAATATTTTGCGTGCTAAATCCTTGTGTGCGGTTTAACTGAAAATCGATTAAGTTTTACTAGTTTCTACTGAAATTTGATAATAGAATGTTGTGCAATTCTTTTTTTTACAGACCACTAGTTCCAAAAACTACACTTACACCAGCCTTATATACGTATATGTTCTCTTTTATCTTAACAATGCATGATGCTATTGCTTTTTATATTAAGAGACACCTGCTAACTTCTTTTTTTTTTTTGTTACAATGTTCTCACTAATAAACTGTTCACGTTCACGTAATCTAAGTCGGCAGATAAATTATATACCGAGACGTGGCGTTAAAGTAGATGTGTCTCACTTGTAATTTTATCGTCGTAGATGAAGATAACGAGGAAGCTACGCCCAAGGATCGTCAGTCACTTGTCATTCCAGAGAAGTCCTCCTCCTTTTCTATACACCCTGAGCGCTTGTGCGCCGACGTCTGTTGCTACTGCTTTGGGAAATTCGGTTCTCTCGACACGCCAATGCATCTAGCCCAGATGAAGTCTGACGAGAGGCGTAAAAAGATCTTGAACATAGAGAGACACCTTACGAAAGACTCGTGTCTATGCGACGCTTGCTATCGTCATGTTGATAGAAAGGTTCGTTTTCCTTTTTTTTTTTTTTTTGTTTAAAAAAAGGAGATCTCACCAATCAATCAATCGATTCGAACTATTAAGTGTAACATTGCATAAAATTCCAAGCGGTTTGATTCTCTTTCTCAGGCAAACACTAGCCCAACAAACATGCAGCAGAAACCGCCGAAACAGCATAGGCAGCTGATGGTATTGAAGTGTTCGGCTCGCGAATGCAGAGATCCAGCGCGGCATAACGTCAAACGCCGTTGGTTACTCAAGATAAAACTTGGTCTCCAAAATCAGGTTAATATCTGTAGTTGCATCGAGAAAGTTAAGCGCACATAAGAAACGTTAAAATGTTTGTTATGCGATATAAATGCATTGTTCTCTTCAGCATCGATGCAAGCAATGTTATTATTGTAGGTTGACATTGACTGGGAGTCGAGTCAACACACCTCAATGTCTTTCTGCGTAAATCATTATGGTAAAATCGAGCGCTTCTTAACGTGCGCGTTATGCAAACGACGATTGGTTCGCAACCATACTCATCAGCTGGCTAATGCGGAGATCGACGAACTGAATCAATTAGTTGCCCAGCAAGGAATCCCCGTCATATTAGCGGCAGGCACATTCGTCTGCAAATTGTGCCGCTATTTCACGCAATTGCATCTAAAGTACAAAGACGTGGACAATATGAACACGAATAGCAGGAGCTTTTTCAAAAGTTACCGAAAGAGGTGAGTGCGGGATTTTGAGTGCCTTGTTTTCACGTCGTCCAAGAGACGGGATGAAAATGGAAGTTTTTAACTCCTGTCTTCGTCTTATTTCCTAAGATAGGAGTTTTCAAAATTCTATCTTAAGAAAAGGAAAACGAGTTTCTAACTTTGTCCAAGAGACTAGGCGGTGTTCATTAACAAGATTGTTATTCTTGTATCACATAGGATTTTACATTATCACGACATCGAAGTGCCCGAGTTCGAGGACGACGACACAGTGCAAAGTCAGACGAAAGACAAGGACAAGCGCAAGAAATCTGCCAAGGGCGCGCAATCCAAGAACTCCAAGTCACCGGATCGTACGATAAACTCGACGTCGGAGAAGTCGATACCAGAACTGAGCAAGGGTGAAGGCGGCGCGAATGAGATGGACACGGAGAATCGCACCGGCGCAAAGGCGAGTGTAAGCGACGAGACTGTCACGGAGGCTCAATACTTCGGCCTCGACAGGGCTGTGGAGAATCTGAAGAAGCGCAAGCTACTCGACCTGCATACGTCATACACGACGACGGAGTCGCCGGTGTCCTCGTGCGGCGATGTTTCGAACGATGTGGAGGAAATTCTCGCGATGGACAAGGAGGTCACGCTGACGCGACTGCCGAAAAGGGCGAGGGCCAATAACAACGATATCGCGCCTGTAGTGCAGAGACTCGGTGCAAACCCCTCCATAAGCGTGCGTACGCTCTTCCCGGGCGAAGAGGAGATGAATCTGCACGCCAAGATCGAGTTTGGCAACGTGCGCGAGATCACGCCGCAGGGCTGGGAGAAGTGTGCCACTATGATCCAATACGATCGCGACACCAAGCTGCTCTGGCAAGAGCTGCAGAGACCGTACGGTAACCAGAGTTCCTTCCTCCGGCATCTGATCCTACTGGAGAAGTACTACCGATCCGGCGATCTGATACTGGCGCCGAACGCCTCGCGGAACGCGATCAATTACTCCACATCGGTGCAGAATAGACTGATATCCTATGAGGGCCCGGAGAAGATGGATGAGCCGATAATGGAGCCGATCGGAGTCCCCTCGGAGTACACAAACTCGCGTCGTCTCAGCGGCGGCTATATGATGGAAAAGGACAACAGATTGCCGTCCTTACCCAGCACGAGCTCTTCGTCGATGAAGCCGTCGACATCGTCGTCGTTGCATCCGACGGCAAAGGCGAGCTCGTCGCCGCCGCGGATGCTCAAGCTCAACACGGGGGTGTCGATTATTAAGAAACCGCCGCCCAACCTGCAGCGATTCAGCAGTCTGCCGTCCACCAGCACAGCGAACGGCGGCGTGAAGCGAAAAGAGGCGCAGAGACCGTCGTCCGCTGTCCTCGGCGGCAAGATGTTTCACTATAGTGAGGCGGACATCAAGCGGCTGCAGACGATGAAGCGGCAGAAGCAGTTCAACGAGAGGCCACCCAGCGGCCCGATGGTCAGTGTTTCCAGCTCGCCGCCCGGTCTTAAGGCCGTCAGCCAGTACCAGAAGGCCCAACTCGTCCAGCACAACCAACAGTTCCAGCAGCATCTGCGAATGCAGCAAGAGATGCTGAATCGCCAGAGCCGTGGGGACTTTGAGCCGCTCATCTGCGACATGCGCAGCAGCGGGACGGCGAACGAGAACAGCTCGACGCATAATCTCATACAAAATCTTAACCTGCCCAAATCGATTCAAGTCACGACCAAGCCATCCAATCCGATCCCGATTTTGCCGAAAATTCCGAAATCGCTGACGGTGATACCACAGACCGTCACAAGACCCGTCGACAAATGAGAAAGAACGAACGCGGGAGATGTAAGTAAATAGACGACGAATATGCAGTTCTTTTTTGTCTTGTGTTTTCGCGGCGGACGAACGATCGGTCTTACGTTATGCGCGCGGAAGAGCGCGGCTTGCTACGCGAGTGCCGATATCAATCGGACCTCTCGAAATCGTCGCCAAAGCGCGTGATCAACGCTATACATGATCAATTTGCCTTACGTGAGCGCATCGCAATATGCACTTACCGAGCCTGAAGCTCAACGTACACGCATACATTCACACACACACACACAGACACATATACCCGTATGATTAATTTTACAGATACGTTTAAGACTAAATAAATTAGTAAGTTATAAATATACATAAAGAAATATATATATATATATGTGTGTATGTATGTGTGTATATATATATATATATATATATATATATATATATATATATATATATATATATATATGTATATATATATATGTATATATTTGTTGCATCGATCGTGATCACACACAAACTCGTAGATAGTAGGATTAATTCGAGCAAATTGTGACACCTCGATTCTAACGACATTATATTAACAACCAAAGCTTCACTATAAAAGAAAAAAAGAAACGCGTTAAACGAAACGTCGAACAATGCTGTTCCCACGGAAAAGTGCCTAAAGTGACAACGGACGGAGCCGTTACTTTATTATCAATTGTCTAATTACGCATGTGAGACTCGGGCTCTCGGAGCAGTATGTAGATACGTATATATACAGGGTGTCCTGCGAGGAAACCGATAAATTCCTGTAATGTAATTACAGAAATGTTCTGGAGGTAATCCTAAGCAAAAAAGTTTATATACACTATAGATCAATTCGGCTCAGTTATCGAGATGTCAGGAATTTTTTTTAATATTGTAACAGACTAAAAAAATATCAGACTATCATTTATAATTTTCACTTGAATATTATTATCTTAATCATGCTAATTGTTTAAAATGTTTACTTTCTGCTTGCAAACATACTGCTACTTGTATCATAAACCGCTGCCGATTAATTTCGCTAAGTTTAATTCTTCATATCTCGATAACTGAAACGAATTGTGATCTATAGTCTATATGAATTTTTTGGCTTAGAATGATCTTTAGAATACATTATAGAAATATGTTTGTTTCTTCGCGGGACACCCTGTATAAGGCGTCCGGTAAAAGTCCCGCTGTAATTGGCGGCGGGACGATCCCTCTGAAAACAGAGAAAAGAATTAGTGAGAAATGTAAAATATTCCCAGGATACGCGCAATCTTCGCAACGAGATCGTAGTTGTGAACGGCACTGTCGTGGAGAGGAATTAAGTTGGAACCTGAAAGAAACGTTCAAAGTTAAGTCACAAAGTTAGTCGCAGATGTGAGCGCGCACGAAAGATTGTGCAAGCAGAAGCAAGTTTGTAACAAAGCGCAAAGCAACGCGAGGAAGTTACGTAGAATTACATCAATAATCACACACAATGCATAATTATAAATAACTGACACACAATCGTTCGCGCGCGGCTCTCTCGTCGGGCCTTTTAAACTCAACTTTGGTCGCGTTGCTCTTCCCGCGAAGTTCATCCGAGTGAATTTCCGTAACGTATCGTTGCATATTCTCTATCATTGTACCTCACCATCTCGCAGGATCAGTCGAAACTAACTCCTTCATGTCGCGCTGATGCTTCCTCGCGAGGAGTGATCACCTCGCCGCCAATAATATGTCGCGATTTATCGGACGCCCCGCGTGTGTGTACACACACACGCGGAACGAATTTATCATTGTAGCAGCATTGCAACCGAATTAATTTAAGCGTATTGCTTATGTTGTCCTCATCTCTTTCTGTTCTCTTTTTCTTTTCCTTTTTTCTTTCCTTCTTTACATTTAGTTAGGAGTAACGTAGCGGGAAGAGAGTGGGTAGAGAATCTTTCTGTAAGATCCGTCGCACGGAAGAAGAGGATAATTTAGACTATACGGAAATCATTTCGGTGAATTTACTTGGTTTCGGTTCATTTTCTTTTTTTTCCTCTCATAGACCTGATAGACGCGCATCGGACATATCTATTTTTTTTCGTAGGGATTAAGGGGGCGAAGATGCGGGCTGGGTGCGAAAAGGGTGCAGAGAGAAAAGAAATAGAGTTATATATATACATATATAAATATATAATCGGAATCGTGCGATCACACACAGACGACGATTGTTATCGGTAGTTCGTTCCTCTTGCAACGCGTCTGAAGAATAAAGGGAAGAAAAAGAATTTTGATACATACATAGGCACACACACACACACACACACATACACACGCGCGCGCGCGCGCAAAACACACATCTGACAGTCACGCGGCGATCGCATGCGAGCGGTGCACCGCGAGTTCATATATTTTGTCTACGCAGAAATTCTTTCACGGGCGTCTCTCCCGAGAGACGCGAGAGACAGGCGACGTCGCGGGACACCGAATAATTGTAAATTATTATCAATATTGGCCTGCTCGCGACCTTAGGAACATAATGACGATATTGTAAGTAATAATGATCATAGATAGAGCACGAGAGAGGGTACGTTTATAAACGAAGCTATACGTGTTTAAGTGCGAGAGAGATAGGGCGAGTACGCCACGTAAGGAGCTAGATTTACGTTCTTGAGCTTATTTATTACGTTATTATGCATTAACGCGTTGTACATATAGAACGGTAATTATTCTATACTTTTTAATCGATCAATCATATGACACACAGACGTTTCTCAAAACGAATCGCGTGCGCGTCCCGTTCCGAGTTCGACTTTGCCTCGATCACGATGGACGCGGATAGCGTCAGGTCGGCGATCAAGGCGGGACGCGTCGGTTTCCGGGAATTTTTCTTTCCCTTTCCTTTGCCCTTCGCGTTTCTCATTCTCCTTTTCACGTTTTCTCCTATCTTTTACACGCGCTCGCGTGAAGAAAAATGCGGCCGATCGGGCCTCTCCTATCATTCGGCATTCGCCGCGCATCGCCACGTTCCTGTTAACAAATGCGAGATTCTCCTTGCACCCCGCGTTACAAACTGCCGGCGGGAAATTCTCTCGTTTAAGTTTTCGTGCGAGAAACAGCGGCGGAACAATGTCGCGGGAACAGTCGTCGCGTCAGAGTAACGGTTGCGTCCAGCAGAGAGAGGGAGAGAGAAGAAAAAGAAAGACAGCTGCTTTGCAACTGTGATAAAACTTGCGAATCTGATCGGTATATTCTCTGGGAGCCAGCTGGATCTAACAGCATGCACGAAAATGAATTTACACGAAAATTGCAACGGTTGCAAAGCAGTGTTTTCTGCTGAACGTAGCTAATGTCTCTAATCGACAGTTGGCCACGTGCGTCTCACGATCTTTTGCGCGCACAGTCGAAGAGAAGACACGAAATTCGTATTTCGCATCTTCTCAAGAATTCATCGCGGAATGATCTCTCGCGTACACGGATTTGGATGGTTTTTTTTCGTAAAGTTTTTTTTATCTCGAGATGTCGGGAATACCAAATAGAAGGCCTAAGAGTGGGGCTTTTATTTGATTTTTGTCGAAGTTTGCAACAGTATAATAGTCTGGAATTTCTGAGTTTGTATAAAAAATAGCTGCGACTGTCTTGGATCATTGTATCATAGATTTTCTCTGTTACATTATCGCATTATTTGCCTTATTGTTATACACAGATTTAGCTGATTTATATTATTTATCACATATTAACGTTTCTTACATTGGTTTTACGTTATCGGTAATTATTCGTGATTATTCACATTCAATTGCGATTTGATTGCTTCACCCGGATCGGTTGAGTCTCGATAAGTGATCTCAATTTCTAGTCTAGTACCAGTTTAAATTCTCTTCTCGTGTGTCATTGGGAAAACAGATATTCAGATCATACGTCTTTGTCTCTCACTAGATTTTACTTCTGTAATATTGCCATGCAAATTGGAGATTGCCGAGAGGAAGAATAAAAAAAAGGAAGGTAATGCGCTTGTAAAATTGTCCTCGTAAAATTTAATTCTCCACTCGCACGAATAGTAGAGAGAAAAGCATTTACTCGCACGTGGCCTCGATTTTTATCATGCATGCGTCATTTAATCGAATATACACACTCGATCATTGTCGTTACACACGAGTCAATTCACCATTTAGCCGTCTGCAATTTTACCTTCGTATTTACCTTACAGTCGAGATATTCGCTATTTTATACGCGTACAGATGAGAGTTTCTAATAGTCGCATTATTTTCACGCGCACCCGCGTTGTTCCTCCGCGATATCGTTCGTTCGCGAATTTACGCGGGGCGATAACGATTAACGTCATTAACATTAATCGCCCATTCGCATTTTCACGAGGTCGCGGCTGTTTTGCGCGGTCGCGCGCGTCGAGGTGGGTTTCTTCGTGCAAGAGAATCTGGCATCCGCGGAGGAACGGTATATATTCCTCTGGTATAATGTACATATAAATATACCTCTGAGCATTGAGGACATGTAGATACCTGCTCTGCGACGTAAGGTACACATATATACACACACGCTCATACATTTACAGATACACTGACATATTAAAAAAAAAAACGACCCACAAGCATACATTTCTATATTCATAATACGAATATATAACGCATGCACTTGTGCGCGCGAATGTACGAATGAAGGTATGTGGGTATTAAATGTAAATTGACTATATATATATTATAATATACACACGGCGTTATATATATATATAAATAAATAAATATATATAGTATATATATATAGTAGATATAACACTATAATATAAAAAGCACTTCGCGGTATGTTATACATATAAATGCTCTATTTTACTGAGGATATTTTTGATATATATCTATATATATATATGAATATATATATATATCGAAGAGTAAAGAGAGAGCACTGGCGGCGATATAGCGATTGATCAATAACATAGATATCGTTATTGACCATCGGCGGGATTATCTAAAATCGCAAATAGCCGTTTGTGGAGTGTGCTGCAAAGAGAAACTATATATATATATATATGTATACTTATGTAGTAATTATGTAAAACGAGAAGCGGACAGAGCGAGTGCAACGCGTGCGTACCGATTTTTTCATCTCACTTCTCACTCTTGTGATTAATGAAATTTTAGTGGCTAGGCTTTCCGCGTGACTCGCTATTGACTGAGAGAAAAACGGAAACTTTAACGGACTCTCCTCTTTTCTTTCGCAGCGAAAAGGCAAAAGAAAAAAGAAAAGGGAGAAAGAGATAACTCGAAGATCATTTGTTATTGTCGTGAGACTTGTTATTTGTCGATCCTTGCAGTTATATATCATTGCGATATGTGCGCGTGAGAAAGACTCTGTATATATTTTATCGTAACGTTCTGAGCGATACACTCACGTGCTTTCTTTCGAAATACCGCGATTGCCCTTACAGGACAAGGAAGGACGAGGAAGCGGACAACGCTCATTGCCGGCGCGAGTTTCCTCTGTATTATTTTGCACGAAATCAAGTTACGCGGAAGTACTCGTGCGGAGTGTCCCCCCCTTTTTTTATATGTATTTTTGATCCCTCGTCGATGAGTGAGTGAGTGAATGAGCGAGCGCGATTCGGAAACTGCGAGGGAACAACCCACGGAACGTTCGCCGTTCGCAAATTCCGAGCTCTCGTTCGCGTCGAATTGCGCGACGCACTCGATTTTTTTTCGGTTTTCGACGAGTGGTCTCGCTAAAGAGTTGTGCACTACTACACGCGCTTTCGTATATTTTTTTTGTCTGTCTGTCTCAACGGCACACTCCACGGCGCGGCGTCCGGCCACGTGTGCACACGTGCGATGCGCGCGACGAAGGAAGATATTGGATCGCGAGTGAACTGAGTTTAAGTTTGAGAAATTCTATTTTTCTGGCGGCACAGAGAAAGTATAATTATCGTGTTGCGATGTCGGACGAACGGTGTCTTGACTCTTCGGACGACCGATTGCGTTGACTTTGCGCTTAGAGACAATCATTGTAGGGAGACAGAAAGTATCATTCGCGGGAGTCAATTGTTTCTCTTGTTTTTCGTTTCGAAAAGTCGGATCTGTGTTAATAGCTGTTACTTTTCTTTTCTAAAACTTGGTTCAAGTGAGACTTTCAGATTTGAATTTAGAATCAGACGATTACTTTCCAGTTGAATCACGATTAACAAATATAAGTGTCATATGTATCATAATTCAATTTAAAAGCTTGGATCGGACCTTGAATAAAAATCTGAATATCTTACACGAAACAAGTTTGAAGTGACAAAGTACCAGTAAGTACCAGAAATAACAGTAAAAACTGTTAATATGAACCTAAGGCTCTTATTAATATTTGCCGCTTGGAACTTGTCTCATATATACTCAGATTTTTATTCAGAGATAAATCCAAATTTTTTATTTGTATCATATGATAAATATGATATTGTATGATACATGATATTGTATGATAATTTATATATAATATCATTTATATTATTCGTGATTCAACTGAGAAACTCTCCTTTAATTCTGAACTCAAAGTTGAGTATCTCACTTAAAGTTTCACGTAACAACTATTAATAAGGTTCGTATTAATAAGTTGTTACTTGAAACTTGTTTCAAACTGGATTTTTAGTTTCGAATTTATAATTAGATGTGAATTTCTCAATGGAATAGCGATTATAAATATAATGTGGCATATATCATACATTTTATTTGAAGAATTTAGGCCGTATCAATAGTCCTTACTTGAAGCTTGTTATCTCACATGAAATCCTCAGATTTGTCTTTAGAGTTAGATCTGAATTTTTCAATGATCACATGATGCACATGACATTATACTTACAATCGTGATTCTTTAAAAAAATTCATTCTATTTAATTATAAAAAATTAATTTAATTATAAAATTTAATTATAATTAATTTAATTATAAAAAATTCATTCTATTTAATTATTTAATTCTAAACTCTCAAATACGAGCATCTCGTTTGAGATAAGTTTCAAGTAATGAGTATTAATAGTTATTGTGAAACTCGTTTCAAATGAGATTTGAATTAGATGGGAGTTTTTCAGTTGAAATGCGCGCGATCACAGATATAAATGTCACATATATCATAATTTAATTGAAAAACTTGAATCTGACATTGAATCAAAGTGTAATGCCCATATTAATAGTTATTATTTGAAACTTATCCTACATGAAATACTCAAATTTGAATATAGATTTAGATGAAAGTTTTTTATTTGAATTATATAATACATGCGACATTATATTTGCAATTGCGATTCAGCTGAGAAACTCAGGTCTAATTCTAAATCAAGATCTAGATGTCTTATATATCTGGGTGTTGTCTGAAGTAAGTTTCAAGTAGTCTTTATTTTACTTTATTTCAGTTTACCATGTCAAGAAGTTTTTAAGTTTTACCTTAACCTTATTTTTACATTTTTCCTATATCTCTACTTCTTTCTTTTCCTTTTTCGCTTCTTATCCTACTCCTTTTCCTTTTACTTTTTTTTACCTCTTATCCTAAATATTTCTAATCCTATACTTGGCAAATTCTATCCTTTGGATTTCTTATCCTTAAATTTCTTATCCTAGATTCTCGGAAGTTTGCCATGTCTTCCGAGAGGAAAGTAAGTTTCAAGTAGCGATTATTAATACGTATCTTGAGCCTATGTTAATAGTTATTGCATCAGAAAATTTAGATGGGAGCTTTCCAGTTAAATTGCGGTAATAGATATACAAATGATACATATATCATAATTTAATTGGAAAACTTGAAACTTCTAACTCTGAATAAAAGTTTAAATACGCCACATGAGAAAATGTGACAATTATTAATACGAGCCTCAGATCTAACTTTGGATTCAAATCTGAATATCTCACGTGAGACAAGTGTCAAGTAAAGACTAATATGGTTCTAAAAGAGACGTTGAATACATAATTTATATATATGTAATCGTGACCATTTGAATTCTCAAACTCCTTTTACGCGGTTGACGGTCGATGTAAGATTTTTTTTTTTTTTATTTACGTGGCGACATTTGGCTGTCGACAGGCAAGATTGTCTCACGACTGTCGCAACTTATCGTATGCTCAATTTAGCCCCGATCTGATCGGCATCGCGGATCCTAAGAGTCAATGTACGTTCCGAAGACGCGTCGGGCGCGGGTTATGCCCCCGCATGCGAGGAAATGTTGTGAAAACGCGAGTGGATGAAGGTGCTGCTGCGGAAGCTTCGACCCAAGACCAATTGTTTGTCACAACGTCATACCCTGCGTCGTGTACGGCGTTTTAACATGAAAGCAAAATCATATCACACGGAGACGACGTTTGGAGTGTTTGAAAAATATATAAAACGACAAAAAAAAAGAAGAAAAAAAAAGACATCCGTCGGTTTCGTAGATAGAATTCATGCGTGATAAGTTATAATAGATAAGAGTGAAGGAAGTGATGCAGAGTTTGTTAGAAAATTATTTTAAACGTATTAACATATATTATTTGTAATATATATGTATATCATTATTATGTTCCGTTTAGTTATTCCATGGGGGAAAATATGGTGATGATGATGATGATGAGAGAGATGATGATTTGTAACGTTGCGAGACTTGCAACGAGTTTGCTCAAGTGTGACTGCGACCAAATTCTCTGACACGTGTATAACGCGAAGTGTGTGTGTGTGTGTGTCAACTGTGTATTCACGGTAGCAGCTTCATCCGCTTGTCATCGATCGACCGTTTCGCTTCTCCGATGACAAAGGCACCGGTGCGCGCGCGCGCATTAGGATCCGTTTAATTAATTCGCGACTAGACATTAATCGTGAATGAATCTTTTTACGAATTCGATCTTGTCAATTATGTAATTTTTTTTCTTTAGTATGAAATCACGAAAAGTGAATAATTTTGCAGTACTCGGAGGCGATCATGAATCTTTTCCTCCGATGTAAACTCGTGAAAAAAGTGAACATTCATATATATTTTCAAGATTAGATTTGTCACTTTTCACAAGTTCACACTGGGGGAAAAGACTCACGATTGACCCTGACGGTCCTCTCGGACGCGTGGAAACGCGACTCCCTCAATGAATAATATCTCGTCTCATTCGAATTTGCAAAATCCGCGCGCATTTTTGTCATCGCGGACGGCGAAACGGAAGAGATATCGCGGCCTTGGCGACGAATGGATCTCGAAGATAGTAGAAAGCGAAAAGAAAAAGAAGTAAATGAGAGTGTTTCTCGAAGCGGCGAATGTGATGGGGAGAAAAGCGAGGAAAATTGCGTTGCGTCGCGCAAAATGTTTCGGTGTTCTTTGCGTGCGCGTGGACGAGACTATTTTTCAAAAAAAAAAAAAAAAAAAAGGGAAAAGAAATAGCCGATGCGGCGAGATCGAGGAGACGAGCGATCGAGTCGCGTTTTGATATCGTGTGCCTTTTTAATAAGCGCGCTGAGTCTGCCTGATGCCGTCATTCGAGTCTCCCCTTCAAATTCGTTAATCAAATTCGATCGTGGCGGTGGATACTTTTTTCTTCTTTCTTTTTTTATTGCTTTCAAGTTACGCGGCGTTTAAAGCTTCCCTCGCGAGCTTTCTACTTTTGAGGGGTGGGAGGAAGGGAAGGTACGACATGTTTGCAAATTCGCAAATTGCATTCGCGATCACAGGACTCGAGATTTCGTGTGTGCTATTCAGACATTCTCTGCGATATTTGCAAATCAAACGGCTTTGATTTCCGCGTCCTTGGGATTCGGCTTCTCATCTCTCGATCGGCCGTCTCTCTCTCTCTCTCTCTCTCTTTCTCTCTTACAAAAGTGATATTTTATTAGTGGAACGGAAGGTGGTATAGAAATGAAACGTGTAAACGCTGCATGAAATCGAAGTAAATGAGAAGCAATAAACGCGCACTTAGATTTTAAGACGTGTAGCTGGATCTCTCGAGGATGGCGATTTTATTATACGTCTTTACAGACGTCTCTGCGGACACGCCGAGCACTCCGCGCGAGTCCGTGTCATTCGTGTCTTTTTTTCTCTCTTTCTCTCTCTCTCTCTTTCTCTCTCCCCCCCCCCTTCCCTCTCTCGTTCAGAGGTGTCCCTGAGAAAGCAGAAGAAAAACTGAAAGAATTAATAGTTAAGTTCACGACGAATTCAAGTGAATTAAAAGGAATGGCAAGTAAGAGTTGTCATCGCATTTATCTTTTGCGCAACTTTTGCACAAGAAGCGATATCAAACGTCGACAATTGCGCGGTATATCCATGTAGTTAGTAAAGTAATAATTACGAAGTAAGTCTGTCACCACAAGAAATTTCTTCCACTGATTGGTGAGTTGTGCGGCTTTTATCGTCATCTTGGACTCTAATTATCTAATTGTTTGTGATATTCACAGAATAATATTGAATATGACTGTTCTTTAAAAGAGAAAGTATAATTTACTGAAGGAGATCGGTCACACTAATCAATGTTGAGCTTTAAGTTGCTCACTGAACGTATCGATTTCTATCGATTAAATGCCTCTAAATGTATAAATCTTCTGATTGGCTTTCGGTCACATTTAGAGACGCTTTTATCGATAAACAAGAGTTTTCAGAACAAGGGTTAAAGTGAAACGCATACAAACATATTGACTCAGTATTCGACTCACAGTTTCAAAATTATAACAATAGAAGAATAGGGGATAGTATCATAGAAGATCCATCTATAGTACACGCAGACAGATTTGTGATCCATTGTGTTTCACTATGTAGAGAGAAACTATTATTTTATTACAAAATTATATACAAATACAACAAGTATATAAATATATAAATATATATATATATATATATATATAGACGGAAAATAAATAATCTATAGAAATGTACACATATACATATATATATATATATATATATATATATATATATATATATATTTCGTTACAAACATTATATCATAAACGTTGGGAAGTGTTTATTGGTTTTGATTGTATAAACGTTGTGATAATGGATCATAACAGCTAATTCGGTATTATTTTGCACATTATTTTTTTGACATTTTATGCGCAATATTTTAGATTTTAATCTTTTATAATGTCAATGTGCAAAATTATTAACCGATGATTACGAGACCCGCGTTATTATTTAATTTATAACATATAATAATAGTTCGCATTCTCCCAGACTTATAATTCAATGCGTTAGTCATTGTACTGATCTCTCGTTAGTGAGTGTTCCGAGCGTTATTTCATCATTGGATAATTATACAAGGATTGCGATTGTATGGTTGGTGAGAAGCTACCTTCATAGTTGTATCATCAGAGTTTAGCATTTCGACATATTTGCCGTTCAGCGGGAGATCGTATACAAACGCGATTAATTGCAACCCAAAATTCATGCAAATTTTTATTTTGTTCGCGTGTGCAATTTTTGTTTGTTTGGACGTCGCTTTTAACTTACGCGTATAAATCGTTGAAGAGGGTCACTTATTAAAAGGATGGCCGAAATATCGAAACTTGAAGACACTTGTTATACAATATAAAATAATGCGCTAATAATTGTGGCAACAATGCTTTACTTACCATTCCTTTTTCTATGTTTGAACAAAAAAAGAAAGAATGTCGCGACGACCGAATCGATGTCGTGAAAACGATTCCTTCCACTGTTCTCTCTTCTCGACAATGTGTTCAAAAATTCAATGTCAGCGTCACCGCGGAGATTGAATCGCGTGGTCGAAGACTTATTTGCAAAAATCAAGGGAGAAAATTTGTGGCATCATCTGCATTCCTCCTCAGAAATTGCGAAAGTCAGTTCGACTGGATTTTCTCGAATTAAAGATTTGTTGCTTCGAATTCTCGTCGAAAAGATTTTCGAGCCGTCTGAGCCTTCTTTCGAGCGAGCATATGGTTCACTTATCTTTGAGAATTTCCTTTACTTTACCTAGAGATATCCAAGAAACCAAACAGACGTGACTTAATTCAAGTGCATGATATGATATCCAGAATGTCATTCCGCGATAAGAAGACTAAGGGAAAGAAAGAGAGAGAGAGAGAGAAAAATGTGGCCTTCATCATCCGCGTGACACGAGAAGCTTTTTCAGAAAGTCGCACGTGGTCGTATCGGGGACCGCGCTGTGTTCAGTGATCCCATTCTGCAACTTTTAACGACAGTGTCCTCGAACGTTACGTCGTTGTCGCGCAGCTTTTCTACTGTTATATTTTACTTGCGTAACAACGAAGTAGCAATAACGACACTTGATGATGGAAAGCCGTTAAAAATTACAGAACAGGTATACAGGTGCCTCAAAAAACGAACGACTTAGCATTCGTTCTTAGATACTACGAGCCAAACACGATCGAGCGATGCGTCAGCTCGATCGTGCATCCGATGACGACGCGACCAAGAATGCAATAGAAAGTCCCTGAGCCTTTTTAGTCCGCGCTTTTCCCGATACGGCCCGATTTCGGTCCCGTTTTCCCGATATTTTCCGTTATCCCGTTTCGTGGATGTGTCGAAACGCACAACTTTTGGAACATGGACAGAGAGAAAGAGAGAGAGAGAGAGAGAGAGGAGGGGGAAAAGAAGGGAAGTTCTCGTTGCGACTCGAGTGCGTTTTTACGCGTCGCGATCGCTCGTTTGCTCTTCGCAATCGAACCGCGACTACGAATCGCTCCAGGGTGTTATTTTACGACGCGAGAAAAGATGCGGAACTTGCAATATGGTATAGACGTGCATTATTCCTTAAAAAAATATATCAAAATTTAAAAGGTGGGACCATTTCCTGAGGAGTCGTAATTTTGAAATTCAAATACTGAGACGATCTCTCTGAAGTACAATTTTACCGAGATATCAAGGAATTGTCTCCTTATATAGCTGCATGAAAAAAAGAGTTTGTTATCGGAATTTTGTTCAAATTGACAAGATTTCTGGTTAACTTGAACAAAATTCACTGGGAAGAAACACTTGAAAATTTACTTGTGGGACATAAAGTTTATTTGTGTGAATAAACTTTATATCCCGCAAATAAATTTTCGAGTATTTTTACTTCCCAGTGTGAGTTGAAGCGGAATTTTCGTGTTTCACCAGAAACTTGCTCAATCCGACAAAACGTTTTTTCTCGTGCGCAAGGTCATCAATGAACACCGACCAATAACAGTAACATCACATCAATATTCTAATTTCTCATTCGACAACGTAACTGTGGTGTACATGTATTATATTACACTCGCTGAGTGAGAAATTATAACATTGATGTAGAGCAACAATGTTAATTGATTACTGAGTCGGTATCTAACTCTCTGTTCATTTGCAGCAGGAGTGCAGCCAAAAGGGTGAATGTTCCTTCTCGGGACAATTGTACACGTCGGGAGAATTGTATTTCCGGAATATGTCGTCTCGCTTTACAGGAAACTCCGGGAAATTGTCCCAATTTTGGAGGTCTTGATTTTTCGGGACAATGCGCGTCCACATTTGCATTATTTGCAATGTTCCCAATGCGGTTAGTGGTGAAGTTGGACGCGGATCAAAAGGGGAGGGGAGGGGAAAGAGAGGGAGGGAGTGATCGATACCGGCGGCGAATCACCGAGGTGTACATCCGCCGATCGAGAGTTCTCGGCGCGTCTTAACGACGTGTAATTAAGAGTTATCGTTGCGCCCTTACGTAAGACTAATGTTAAGATTATTATTTTGTACAATAAGATCCTCACGATACTGCGCGATACTGCCCGTCACGACCCGTCGGCGCACCGTGACACCGTAATTAACTTCACGTACGTTCGTCTAATTTAGTTTCGGCGCGCGATAACGCGCTATCGCGCGACATCGTCGCGAGTTACGATGTATGGGAGGGAAGCGGTTGATGATGGATCGCGCCGAGACCGTTGTTGGTGTGCACGCGATCCAAATCGATTGCGATCGCTCTCTCCCTCCCTCTCTCTCTCTCTTTCTCTCAAGAGAGCGACGCAGCATCAGCGGTACATCGATGCCGGTATCGGTCCCCTGTGAGACCGCTTATCACTCGTTGCATCGTCTGATTATGACGATCTCGGACGACGAAAGAGACTTTATGTCGCAGCAATAATCGTCGCGGTGAATGATTCGCGCCTTTTCCACGGGAGATCGTTTCGTCCGAGAGGAACGCGTACACTGAGAAGAAAAGACCACCTGAACATTAATTTGTGGGGTATAAAGTCTGTGAAATAAACTTCATTTCACACAAACAAACTTTATATCCCATAAACAAATATATCCGGGTATTTTCTCTCAGTGCGACTAATCTCGTTCGATCGAGGAAGAAGCGCGGGACGTTCGATCGGGAAAGAGATCTATCTGTCTGTCGATCGCGAGCATGAAAATAAAAGTAAATAGCGAAAAGAAAATAAAAATAGTGATCCTCAGAGGAGAATGAAGAATGTAGACATACAGGAAAAAGGGATAAAGAGCGAGCAGAGGAGGGGGAGGCCTCACCTCTGTGTGTTCGGGGCCTTATCCGATCTCGGCGCGTCCATGCTCACACGAATACATACACACACACATAAAGGCGTGTATACTATACATACACATACAGACAATACATTCACATACATACAATAACAAACACGCAGTTACAACTATTATGTTATTTATATTAATATTAACACACGTTAACGTTATTATCATGGTAATCCTTTGTTTATTTAGTCTTTAAGTACAATAGTTACGACAATTAGTTCTCGATCCTTTGTATATATATATTCGCAACTCTCAATAAAAAAGGTAAAAAAAAGGGATAAGACGAAACGAACGAGAGACCGACCCAAAATACGCATCCATCATTATTTTCACATATATAGACGTTTTATATTTATTGTACACATTAAGAGAATCGTTTTCTTCGACTACGAAAAATGAGTAAAATACAATAAACCGTAACGTCCCTAAGGGTAATGATAATAAGATGGTTCAAGCGGCATTTTGCAAAGAAAAGTTTCTAAAATATTTTGAAGAACATACAGTTCACTCATCTGTTACGACACTATATGAATTCAAATCGAGATCCGTCAAACACCGAGACTTTTTATGAAATCTGTCGAATCGTACTGCGTAAGCAAAAAATCATGGACAAATGCGTGCACTACTCAAAAACGTGGACTTTCTACTTTAATTTGCGCGCTTATTTGTTGCAATACAATTTCTTCACACAGAATTATTCTACATTGAAGCAAAATGTAGCGTTCTTTCGACTTTGATCGTTTGTGGAAGATGAACGATTTGATGTGCGATATTCTCTAAAAAATGAATACAAAGTTTATAAAGTTTCCAAAATGTATAATTCATATCTTTGATATATAGTGAGATTTCTCGATGTAAGAAATTAATTGCAAGATGAGATTAAATACTGGATTATTGAACTACTTTTTATTTAATTTATCATGGTGAAAGAGGATAATACTTTAAGCTGTAAAATGCTTTTTGAATCATTTTATTAATATAAGTTTTGCCAATGTTATAACCTTTTAAACTTTGCCTGTGTTTTATACAATATCAAAATATAGGTAACTAATCGCTATTTGAAAATGTTACTTGAAAATAAAAGGTACACGGAAAAACAAATTTGGTTGGTTTAACTAAATTTCTGATAAAATATAAATGTACCAGAAGTTCCCAAGTTGAAGTTGTCTGTTCAAGTTAACAAGGTTTCCGATTCTTTGCTTGTTTTCCGTATTTGGACTGCGTCTTCCTTGTACTTGATTCCGACGTTTCGCAAACATTTTAGTTTACTTCTTCAGAGAGCAAGGCAACTCTGGTTCAAATCTCACCAGAAATCTACTTAATTCAATATAACACTTTTTCCATGTAGGTCTGACTTATTCTAAAGTCGTACTACGAGGGACTCTGACTTTTCATTACGTATGGTAGCGACTTGTAGCGGAGATTTTGGAACTAATTTGTCATATTTAGTCAAGAGTCGAACCTTTCTTTAGCCAAGACCCAAACCCTTGTTTAGCCAAGACTCAAATCTTTTTGCTTAACAGTTTCTACTCATTACCGCTAAATGACGCTAGTCAATCCGTTAAATATGATTTGTCTTGCCTAAATAGATTTTGAATCTCGGCCAAACGACGTTGTAAATTAGTTTTATATTGCATGAAATTATAGATAAAATTAATAATATGCTTGTAAAATTCTGAAACAGTATTTTACTACTTAAGGTTTCTAATTTCAGATACATTAAAATCGTTATCTTATAGTCGTCTCTTGCCAGGAATTATCTAATAAATGAAAAGTATCGATCGTTTAACTATCAAATTCATTTTTCAAAGGAATCTTTTCTTAAAAAAGATAAAATTTTATGAATATAAAAAATGTGACATATTAAAGAAAAAACTTTAAATTTTCTACATTTATTTTTTAGTGAAATCTTATATCACATACGCGCGATTTATTTATCTTTTGCAATCAATTAAAGTCAAAATGACGCATTTTGTTTCAACTTCGAATAACTTAACACGGAAAAATTGCACTGCAATGAGCAAGCGCGCAAATTAAAGGAAAAGGCTCGTACTCTTAAATACAAACATCATTTGTCTATAGTTTTTCACACTTATACGGTACAACTCGACTAACTTTATAGAGAAATTTTGTTCTTTGATGAATTACGATTTAAATTGTGTGCGCCGATAAATAAGTAAATCGTGCATTTATCAAAATATCTTAAAACTAGACTTTGTTCTGTAGAATGCTTCTTGAAGCATCTCATTATCATTATTTCTTTGAAAGTTACAGCCCATTTGTATTGCTTATTCTACGTAATTGAGGAAAGTAATACTCTAGCATGAAAACGAGGCATGGAAATATTGAATAAACAACAGTCATTGTTTTTTTTCCTTGCAGTTTATTTGCAATTTGTTCATATAATTGGTAACTGATCTCATGATAACTAGTACTAAAAACCTAAACAACGTATGAAACTTTTATACATAGCTAATTTATATCTTAAAAGTGCTAAGGCGACTATTTACAATTTAAACGCGTCGAGCCGCGCACATCGCGCTTTTCTCGAGGAACGTGTGTGTCTGGCTGGATGTGTGTGTGTGTGTGTTTTTGTGTGGCCCAGGCGTTCTTCTAAGGAAGTTTGAATCTGTCTGTGCACTTTGCGTCCAGGCATTGCCGCGGAATTGTCTTTACCCACATAGCGTTTCCTCTGCTTCACCGAATTTCCATTATGATGAATGTCAGATTGTCGGAATCATTCATACTTTGTTCTTTCTTCGCGTTTCTTCATCGTAGACGCCCGCCTCGACGTATCGAGGTCGTCTCTCGGTCGCGATATCTTTTATCTTTTATCGCGATCTTTTATCGGTATATATCTCTTTAGAAAAAAAAGGAAAGAAAGAAAGAAAGGAACAATAGAATTCTACTTTCACAAAGGAATTTACACGCGATAATGATCTTACGCCACTTTCGCGTTGGCAAATAAAAAATCGACACGGACTCCTCGCGACGAAGATAATGAAAGATTTGTTCACGAGGGAGCCGCTTGTTCGGGCTCAATATGGAATTTCTATATACATCACGTAGACGGCAGAAGCGACATGCACATGGGAGACAAATCGTTCCGAAATGTTTATCCAATTCTTTTCATAGCGCTTTTTTTGTGAGAAAGAGGGACAAATAAGTTAGAATGGAATCATAATGTGCTCGCCGGAGGGTCGATGATGTGTGCACTGTTTACGTACTACGACGACATCTGCCGCGACGCGTGGTCGCGGTGTCGCGCTTATCGGCTCGAGCACGTAATTCCGTCACGTTAGAATCATAAACAAGGATGCCTATATTACATAACGAACACTCGCATGTGTTCGATGCGAGGTGAGCGCGTGTGTGACTCGGCAGACGCAAATTTCGCACCGCGGCAGTGTCTGAATAAAATACGAGGAATCGGTGATAAAGGTATGATGGATGGAGAAGAGTATCGATTAAAGGAAAATACAAGAAGAACGAAGATATTGCACTGCACGGAATCAGCGTGGAGGAGACTCGCGTGGAAATACCTTGCCGTTCGACGTTATTTAGATATCTTCAAAACAACATACGTTTATATATATGTACAACGTAACGCTTGCGAATTACACAAACACGTTCTTAACACCAACTAAATTAAAAAGAAAGAAAACAGGAAAGAGAAGAGGAAAGAGAGGAAAACCAAAGTTATGTTCAACCTCGTTAGAAAAGAGCCAAACGAGTCCTCCCCGGACGAAATGCACGACGGAGCGCGACGGAGAGGATCGAACGACATAAGAATCCAAATGAAGGATAATTCATCTAGCTCGCGCGCGCGCGCGGTTCGGCGATCAGGATAATAAGATGTACTTTTGCGCGACGGGAAATCCTCGTCCGTTCGGCGAATGATAAGTGGATTGTCGCTCTTCTCGATAGATTTCCACGTGGAGCGCGCGAAATCACCTCCGCCGGAACGGCCGACGGGAAAGGCGCTTCCGTCGCCACCGGCGAAGGCGCGTGAGGGAGAGAGAGATAGAGAGAGAGAGAACCTCGCGCGATCGATCGCAAGTAGTCGCGTGCGGCGATCGAGAAATAATTTACAAAAGATACACTTACATAATGCACACACGCGGTTATAATTCGCTAAAGTGCTCGGATGAGACGCGGCTCATCGCGTAGCTCGACGTAGTACGATCGTTCGCGAGAAAGAGAAACAGAAGAAAGGAGAAAATCAAAAACCAGCAGATCAAAGATTTTTCCTCCCGCGTGCCTGTTTGAACTTTTTTTTTTCGTTGACAATCGCAATCAAATCGACGAATATACCGAATTTCATGATTTCTCATTTAGTTCTTCCGACGCTATATGTAGAAAGAGAAAGATATATATATATATATATATATAAATATATATATATATATATCTGTATGTATATATAAGTTTGATAATAATATATATTAATATTAATATTAATATATCAATATCTATTAATATAACATATCATACATATGTATAAATATTAACATTAATAAATATTAATACATATTAATATTAATATAACGCGCGTATACATGACGAAAGTAATGGCGTTCCTTTTTTTTCGCATTTACTTCGTGAAATCATCGACGTTTCCGCGAGATACACGATGTTCGCGATGGTCCCCACGATGAAATCGTCGGAATCCGCTTTCACGGAATCGTCAGGCTCACAATATCGTTCTTGCCGTGAAAAACGCGTATGTATATGAGATGATGTCAGGAGGAAACCACCAGTAGGGAAGTACAACTATTGCTCGCTATTACCGTCTACTCCTCGAATACGAGGAAAGTGTTATTAACAAAAGTGGTACGATCGTATAACAGCTAAGGCTCGTCGTGGCGTTGCGCGGTAGGTGGCGTGTGTTCTCTTTCAACAGAAGACGGCGTTTCACAGCATTGTCCGGCTCGAGTGGCGCTGTGACCAAGGTCGTCCGGACGACAAAAGTCGCTCGTCTTACAGCGAGACCGGGCGAAGCGATATACCGCTGAGTCCCAGGACGAAGTGTTTGTCCGGCGAGGAAAGATTCAAAGTCAACAGAATTAACGATCAACGAGGGTAAACGCTCGCTATGGAGCAATGCTCTGAAACGCAGCAGCAGCGCGGAGCGGAGGATCGCTGCTTTCGTCATGCAACCCGCGTGAGCTTTTCTTTCTCTCTCTCTCTCTCTCTCTCTCTCACGCGGACGCGATTCTCCGCCCCTCTGGACTACGATTGCGCACGAATCGAAAGCGAATCGGCGAACACGTTCGACCGTGGCGCTTCGTCGCGCGCCTTCGAGGGCGAAGACGCGGCGACGACAGGACAGTTCTCTCCCGCGTTCATTCTGTTTAAATGACGCGGATGAAGTGGGGGAGAAGGAACGTGATCGAGCTCCCGACGCTTTCTCAACAACTCTCCGATTGACGCGCGGGAAAAACGCCGAGATCGTTCTCCGCCTTCGCTCGTCATATCTCTCTTCCCTCGTCCATGGATAGTTAGCTATGTACCGGCGTGTGCTATTTCGCTATAATTCGTCCTATATCCTTAACGTGCTCTCTTAAAAATCTATCTGTATATATACAAACAATGTGTGTACACGCGCTCTGTGTGTATGTGTGCGCGCGCGCGCGTTCATCATACGCCGAAGGTCGCGTCGCTGCCGGAAGACGAGAGCCGTCCCCTTTGTCCTTGGTTACGTACACACGACGTCATGGATGCCCGAACATTCTCTAGATCGAGAGTTACAGGAGAGTTTCGGTTTTATGTGTATACGAACAAAATTGAAATTGTTATAATTAATACCATTATAACTTTATCATTATAATCAGAGTTAATTAACTATTTTCAATCTTAAGTATTATATGTAAATAAATACATAAAGCTGAAAATCGTAAATGTTCGGGCATCCATGACGCAGAGAAAGTTGTTTCACAACTTATCTAATCCGTGAATCAGATTGGTTCATGCTCTTGAATTCAGCTAAGACTAAGAGCATACACCAGTCTGATTCACGAATGTTACAACAGTTGCGAAGCAGCCTGTGCTCTGCTGAACGCAGCTGTTATCTGGTACTGTAGGCACGTGTCGTCTTCGCGACGCGACGCTTCAACGCTGCAAAGTGGACGCGAATCAGCCGCGGGCAAGGTTGGGCACAGCGTGGAAGACTGCGGTGCCGGCGAATACACACGAACACACGTTGAACCTTGTGGATCGCGCGTATGCACGAATGTTCCTATTTAGCGCGTCGACAGTGACGGAGTGTTTGCGATTACGCGAGTGGAGCTCTCTGACCGTCCAGAAAAACTAAATTTACAACTTATAAGATGTTAGTCCCGAAGTCGATGAATTCGTGGCGTGTGCAATGGGATGGGAAGAGTAGAAGGAGGGAGGAAGGGAGAGAGAAAGGAGTACGTGTGATTGTTCCATGAAGATGAACTCTCTAATTGTTAGGAGAGGAAGGAATAATCATTGTGAAGAAAGACAGAATTGAGATCGCGGAAAAGTGAGAGAGAAAAAGAGACAGGGGACGGGAGGACGGGAGGGAGAGAGGTAGGAGGGATAGGTAATTACTCGCAAGGAATGATTGCACGATAGAATCGACTGAAACCCATTGTCTATCAGCCATCGACTTTAAATAGATTTGATATTGTGCGCGCCGATGTATATAAATAGATCAAGCGCGCGGCGTCCAAAGAACCAAGCCAGCAATTACGTCTGCCAGCGGAAAGAAGTCTTACTGCGAAGATCGATGCCTGATATAATGTCGCATACGTCAGCAAAACAAGCGCGACGATGATGCCGACAGTTTTTAGACCGTTTGTGTTCTCTGGCTCGGTATGTTGTCCGGAAATTCGTCAGTTTCTCATTGGTGGAGTGCTCTCACATATATTATCCGCGTTAAAAAAATCGTAAACGTACACCCGACAATTATTTATACACGTAATTTAATAGATAAAAAAAAACAAAAAAGACGCTTTCGCTGCGATCATCGGTGAATAGAAAAGTCGATTGAAGTGCGGTGTGCGTTCACGGTGTTATTAGATATCTCGTGGCTGCGCGTTGAACATTGAGTCAGTGCTGTAAGCAGATTATTACCAGCGTGAGTCAGACTCGTAGGCGATGATTCGGCCGAGATGCCGCGCATATTATCGCGCTTTATCATACGATACTTCTCGATCCTGCACGTTATTACATGTGTGGGTAGAATCTTTTACTCGCAAAAGACGCAACCGAACAATTCCAATGACTTGTCACTCTCCGGAATAGACAGCGATAAGTATCTACGACGAAACCTCTAATTACAGCTCTGACTGAGTTCGCGGTGTCCTAAATTAACGCATTGATCGCGGATGCATTTCGCGCGCTCAGCAAACACAGAGACAACGGCTGAGCGTGTTGAACAACGCGTCGTCGTCGTCTCGCTGAGGAGACTTCCACAGCTGAGGAGACTTCTTCGCGGTACGCACTCTCGCGCATTGTCCGTGCTCTCGTGAGTTCCGTACGCAATATTGACATAAACGTACGGCCTCTCGGGTATGGGCCGCGGCGCACCATCGCATTCGTTAATTAACGAAGTTGACGTCGACACAAACAATACTCGCGTGTCGTTAACACGTTTGCGAGTCATGTGCGGAGACAACGGGGCGCACTTTTCCACCATCTCGCTGAAGAATACGTCGCAGTCGTCCGCTTCAAGCTCCAGGTTCATTCGTGAGTCCTCCTCGCCACTCGCTTGCACCCACCAAGTCAGTTCTACGCTACATCCTCTTCGCCTCTGTCGACTCCGGTTTTGTCGTACGGATAAACGTCCGACGACGTCGGTGCCGAGTCAAGTCGCTGCTCCAGGTACACCGCCGTCGTCTAGGTCTCCAGCCCTGGCACCAGACTGTGGAAGGTCTGTATGTCGTGGAAGGCGCGGCCACAGCTCTGGTTGTTGTTGCGCTCGAATTTGGTGAGGTCGAAGTGCTCATCCAACGACTGTAGCTCGGCCAGCCGCTCCTCCAGCGTTTTCGCCGAGTCGGCGAACCGGGCGAAGTCGCAGAGCCGGTCAGGATCCACCACGTCGCTCACGTCCATCGTGGTGTCGCCCGGTCGTGAGAGCTGCGCGCTCCCGTCGTCGTCGAGGACCGTGGGGAATCCGAGGAGAGTGTTGCTGCAGCAGTTTGCGCCGTTCACGGCGCCACCGTTGGCCACCGTCGCGCCGGTGTGGTTACTGCCGTTGTCGGTGCTGCCGGGCCGCACGTCCGTCAAGCCGCTCAGGCGATCTTCCGTGTAGCTGCTCACCATCGAGTGACTCGACGTGTGCACGTCTGGAAGATCATCGATGTGAGACAGCAGCGACGTGGGCGATAGGATGTAGAAGTCGTTGAACACGTCGTCCTGCAGGTCCAGGTCGTCGTGCCTCTGTCTTTTAGGGCTGAGCATATCGTTTCTCGAGTCGTCGGCCAACCTGTCGGTCAATAAAGATGACGGTCATTCTATGATCTCTCACTGGGTGGTTAAATTACGGTATGCTCGTTAGAAATCCCCGAGCGAAGTCACCGCTCAGCACGGCGCGAGGACATTCTAACGGAACACTCATTCGAAGGAGTTGCGACAAGGTGTAGCTATTAAATTTATGAGGCTGAAGAAAGAGAGAAGTGGAAGCAGATATTATTCGACAAAACGGTATCACTACAACTGGCATGTGAGCTCATACGAGCTTTCGTCCTCGCGGGTCCAGATTAATTTCTTAGCAAAAATTAATTTCAAATTAACAAACTATATATACACAAAGCTCTTGGGAATATAATCAAATGAAAGAGAGAGAGAGAGCCTACACTGAGAAACAAATTTTGGTATATATAATCATTTGGTATAAGTATAATCATATTGGGAAATAATTACTGTAAATTATGATAAAGAAAAAACTATTTTTTATATTAAATTCTATTTAATGTTAATGATCATAATCTCATATGCATATTGCTAATTATCATTTCCATATTAAATCAAGCAAAAAGTATGATTGTAAAATAAGTAATGTATATATAAGTAATAAATGTAATATATATGTAATATATATGTAATAAATAAATAATGTATGGAGTAAAAATAACTATAATTTTAATAAACTATTCCTTTTGTCTCATAAGAAATATGAATATATATAAGAATTAGTCGCGGATGCTTGTGTGTATATACGATTATTTTATTATTTTCTCATAAAAATGTTTGTACCAACAACTGCGACTGTCTTTCTTATGTTTTCTTCTCTCTTCTTCCCCCTTCTTTCTTTCAATTCAAATTAATTTTTTATAGATAAGCAAATATATACATTTCGAGCGTTATCACTTGCAAGAAAGGATCGATTCTTCCGTCGACATGCAGGCAATGCCATTTCGTCGTACCTCTTTCTCGGAGACGTCTCTTCGTCCGTTACATCGGCGATCAGGTTGCTGGCGACGCTGTTCTCCTTGCTCGCGTCGTCCATGTACGATACTACCGGAAGTCCATAGTTCCGCGTCTTTTCGTCTCGATTTTCGCGCTGCAGTCGTCGCACCGCGTTATTTATCAGCACCGATCTGCACAGGCTGGCCTCCGGATCCTCGATCCTCCTAAGCTTGCCGGCGGAGATCTTCAGCAAGCGGCGGCGTTCCTCACGGGCGCGGTATTTGGCGGAAATCATCGTGGGTCGGCTCCTGCGTATTACCAGGTCCTCCTCCAATGTCATTTTAGAGTCTGCAAGCAGAAGGAGCGGAGACACGAACGTTATTCGAGTTTAGTCATTAAATCGTCGTTATTGGTGCTCGCTAATGAGTTTCAAACGCCGTTGCTGTTGTTATCATCGAAACTCGAGTCGACGCGCGCCTCGTAGACTCTAGCCGCAAAAACAGTAGCTCGCGGTATAAATTTATCGAGCAAACAGATTGCAATGAACGATAATGTATTATTTATATCACTTATTACTCAGCAGAAACTTTTTTACAGCGCGAGCTGCGGCGCACACGCTCGCATTTATTAAGGAGAGAGTATTTTCGCTTAACGGTATACGCGGAGACGATGGTAAACACACGCACGCACGCACGCACGCACGCACGCACATACTTCACTCGCGTACGTGTGCTCGCTGTTGGAGGGGGGAGGGAGCGGGTTAGCGGTATGTAAGTACGCACTTACGCACTCACATGTAGCGCGCGCGTACCAATGGACGAGGTCTCTTTTTCTTTTTCCTCTTATCGTTGTCGTCGTCGTCGTCGTTGCCGTCATCGTTGTATTCGTCGTATTCGTCGTCGTCGTCGACTGACCCAGTTATACGGCGCTTCCGTCTTTCCGCGCCGCGCAAATAAATCCCGGCCGCCTACCACTTCGTCATGGGAAGGGGAAAAATACGCGTACCGCTATCACACGGTGTCTCATAATGTCGACGACGGCAACGACTACAATGATGATGATGACGACGACGACGCATCAGATCGTTTCGCGGATCGCTGCGCGGACTTGGCGAAATCGCGCACTAACGGTCGCGGCAATTGTCCCTTGTTACTTCACGTTGCACGTCTCTGATCTGCGAGCCGATGCCTCATTTCTGGTTAAAGCAGAAGTATTAGTCGTGTCGACATTTCCTCAATTCGAGTCGGCAAAGTGGGCATCTCCGAGATGCTGCCGCAGAATTAACGGAGGCGCTTTACGTCGCTCTCCTTTTCAATATTCATTTCTTCATCTTTTTGTGAAAACGAGCGAAGGTGGGAAAAAGTATATAAAGCTATCCGGAGAAATGTCAGATTAGTGCGAAAGGTTCATCGTATTTGTTAAATAAGATAGAAAAGGCGATTATCCAATTTTGAAGGATTACCAATTTTTACGAATAAAATGAATAACGTCGACTCGCCACATTTTTTTGTGTTAGACATCCAACGAGAACTTTGTATTTTTTTTTAATACCCAGACCTCCGACGAGAATTTCATAGAATAAAAGTGACAAATCTTTTGCAGTAACCTATCCTAACCTAACACATGCGCGATTTTAATGGAATAAAAATGGCAAATTTTTTGTGCATCAACCTAATCTAAGCTAACACATTCGCCACTCAGAGAAATTGATGTGCCCATAATATCCCTGGATATTTACTCGATTAATCTGGAGATTGTTCAAATGTTTATTTGAAAAATGTATACCTTGTTCGACGTCGGTGGCTTACTGACAACCAAATTTTCGTCGCGCACGTACCACATGTGTTACACTCGCGCATTTTCCAAACGATCTTATTGCTGCGTCGTTTTAATATTAAAGAGGAAAATATTTCGTTCCGAAATCCCCTCCTTTCTCCCTCTCTCTTTCTTCCATTCTCTATTTCTCTTCCTGTTCCCAATTTCCGAGAAATGTTTTCTTGGGGAGCGACACTTCAAACCGCCATGGGAGTCACTTCCGACCGATCAACTATCGATAGATCGACAATTACTAAAACTTCTCGGCCAGCCGTGTTTCTCATCGCTGCTAATTAATCCAGAACACACGTTCTCGCTTTCTGGATAGGGGCTACTTTTACCAAGCTCTAGTTAAACTAACCGTTTTAATATCCTTGCAGAGTTTCAACTGAAGCTGTTAGAGAAAAGAAGAAAAGTAGAGAGTTATAAATGTGGACTTGTAATGCTACAGTTAAGCGTAAAAGTGCACACGTCCCAATCAGATTTAGGATGTTAGAACGTGCATTTTCATGTTTAGCTGTTAATATAATCAATCCACATTTATAACTTTTCACTTTCTATTTTTTGCTCCAACAGCAGCTTTATTTTGAATCCTGCAAAGTTATTAAAATGGTTAGTTTAATCGAAGTTTGATAAAAATGACCCTAAATCAATAGTCATAGCAACGAGTAATTAAAAACGCGTGGTCGAAAATATTTAGTACCGATTCATCAAACTATATCGATCTATCGAATGGTGGCATCCGCGGGAGCGAGTGGACAGAGGGCATCCTTGTAGCAGCGCCACACGACGCGCGAATCCCGCGCGTCATCTTCGATCTTTCCGTGTCGAGCAGCCCCACCATTGACACATCGATCGACATCGTTCCGCGTTCTTCATCCATCGAGAGTGAATCCCGTGCGGAAATAAGTGTCGAAAATAAGTGTGCGTCGAAAACAGCAACGTACCATTGTCGGAACGTAGTAAGTTATTCGGGAGTAATCTCCTCATTTCTCGTTGTATGCAACCGATGCTTGTCACGGCGTGTCGAGTCGGCGTCTCTATTACACTTTTGTTAATTACGATCGGCTCACTCAAGTACTAACAGAGTCGAAAGATTCGGATTAATGGGGAATCAGCGGCTTTATTCTCGAAAAATATCACATACGATATTTCGATGAAAAGTTATAGTATACGTAACATGAACTATAGCTTTTCATAGAAATATCATACACGATATTTTTCGAGAGCAACGTCATAAAAACTTAGCGATATTTAATGAATGAAAGGGGAAAGAAAACGTCGCGAAGGAATATTTGCGAGTCGGTAGCGTCAGTCCGTTAGCAAGAGAGAGAAAGGGGTATATCATAGAGGGCATCCTTGTCAGATCGCGACATCGTTCACGTCGCGGCACGCATTCAGCGTAGAATATTCGCGATCGACCGTGCGGCCATCTTCGATATCGATCTTTTCGTGTGGAGCAGTCGCCATTAACACACCGATCGACATTGCTTCACATCTTTTGTCCGTCGAAAGTGAGTCTCGCACAGAAATAAATATCGGAAGTGTCGAAAACAACGATGTATGATCGTCGGGTCGACCGATCGATCCTGCGTTCTCGCGTGAAAACTGTTAATCCGCAATTCCACCGAGATTGGCCGATAGCCACGGTCGTCTATTTTCTTACAGAAGGTCCTTTGCTTAATCGATCCCGTACATGCTACGCGCTGCCTCGAGGAAGCTAATTTAGAACGCCAAGGGTTGGAGATGAGTTTCGTTTCAACGGCGCGATGAATGACTGCTAAGCACGGTGTGTATCATTATGTTGTAACTTGCAGCGTTGTCACGTCAATTGTTTTTAATTACTTCCTAATGTTCTTTTGTGTGTAACGTTTAAATGGGTAAGGTAAAAGTATCAGTGTCCAAACCTAATCCCGGACATTCTTATTGCTTTGGTTTTTAAAAATATGAATATTAAAAATTTCAAAATAAAAAAAAAAATATATATATATATATATATATATATATATATATATATATATATATATATACATATATTCTATATTGAAAATTCAAATGTTCGTACTCGGAAGAGAAAGATATGGATTTATGGTACACATAATCAGAAATATTTAGATGTAAGTAACATAACTACACATCACAGTTATTACTCTGTGACAGTAATGTGCATGTTTGATGTGTACTAAAAACAAAATATTTGAAGACTTATGTGTAGGATATAAAGTTTATTTCTGTATGAAATGGTAAAATTAGATTTACATCTGCGCCAACCATATCATTTGTTCCGTGTATTTCAAGATCAAAACAATAAGAATGTCCAGGGTTAGAATTGGTACTTTTTATAGAAACATTCATCGTTTAATTTTACATAACGCGCGCGACGTTTCCCGTATGTTAATCTTTGTGAAAAAATAATTTTTTCAGAAAACAATCGCTCTCGCGAATCGCGCGTTGTTCGGAAGTGAATGCCGGAAAGAGAGATTCGCCGCGCGATTGGAAGATGTCGCGCCAAGTACTTCCCGGAGCGCGTTCAAAATGGACGCCGGTGTGCCAAGTGAGCCGCGTCGAAAGAATACATTCTGCCGCGCGACACTTGTTGCTAAGACCGATCGGCCGTGTTGGAATAAAAAGGCTCGCCTTCGCGATCGCGACTCTCAAATCTACCCCCGAAGGACGACGACGACAACGGCGAGAGCGACGACGACGGCGACGGTGAAGGCGGTTCACGATCTCGTGGCCGAGATCGTTTTTCCTGTGCGATTCGAAAACTCGGACATAACCGTTCTTCGAAAGTCGCTCCAGTAAAGCCGCTTGCCTTCGAGTGGAGTGGCGGTTTACGTAAGTGTTTTTATACCTGCAACATTTACATTCTGTTTGGCGGCGAGCGAGTTCGAAATAGAGAAGCTGATGCGTAAAATATCCGAACTATAAAAGAGGTTACACAGTTCGCGTGCGAGCAACAACATAATCTCGACACTCGGTCTCAAAGTTCACATGAATAAAGTGTTTGGTTGGATTGACCAAATTTCTGAATGTATGAACGGACCCAGAACATTCTGATTAATGTTACCGGAATTCAAGTTAACCAGAAATCTCATTAATTTGAACGAGATTTTGCACACAGAAAAACTGCATTCGAGCAAATGTTACTTGCTTTGCTTCGAGTATTTCACAAATTTATATATCCACATCATAAATTTGTCACAAGCATTAAATTCATTCAAAATATATTCTGAATCCTAATAAGTTTAGCATTTTAGTCAAGAATGTTAAAACACAAAAATTCAATTCGTTTACTACACAGAGTCGAGCCAACTTCGAGTAGAGTTTTATAATATTCTTGCAAAGAGGACATAAATTTTCTTCTTTTGAGTATGTGATTACGAGTTTTTCTAAAGTTCACGAGGAGCTTATTTGAAGATTATTACCAAGAAAATATTCTTTGTCGAAAGTAACTATTGCTCAAGAGAAGGAAAGCGAATTGAGTAATCGCTTTTCTTAGCAGCAGTATGATACTTTTTTGCGGTAACTTCAACATGGAATTTCTGCTTCGTTCACGTGTCACCAGAAATTTGATTACTCCAACTTAATATCTTCATTCGTGCAGGAGACGGAAAGAGTGGAGCGTTGATTTTGCGATCGAAAAGTAGATAAAAAGGAAAGAAAGAAATTTCCAACGCGTCACTTTTGCTTTGTGCTGAATGGACAAAGCCGACGATTACGTGTGTCGCTCGTCTCCAATAGCGATAGTCGAGGTTTCGCCGCCGCCAAAACAGAATGACAGCCGAATTGACGGGCCGGGAAGAGGACGAAAAAATCGAAAGTCAAGCATAATATACGTATCGAGGACGCTAAGTGGCCGCCGTGCGAGCGCGATCCTCGTCAGTGGCGGATTACTTAATTCGCCGCTGCGGAATACAGAAAGAGAGAGGGTGAGAGAAAGTAGAGTAGAGAGAGGTATTTATTCTATCTCGGGACAATGCCCCTGAGAACAATCGGGTCGTATTAATCAAGATAACACAACGATGGCTCCGTGTATCGCGCGGATCGTATGAATAAAGCGTCGCGGTTTCGGTAACTCAATATCTCGTCGTTGTGAGTGTTTCATAAGGACGAATTAAAATTCAATAAGGTTCATGCGGCAGACTTTCGTTAATACGGCACTTATGAACGTCGTTTCGGAAAGCGACGCGAGAGAGAAGGGGAGAGAAAGAGAGTAGGGAAAGAGAGAGATTCAAATTCCGCGATCTCAGTGCGACGTGAAGTCCAACGCAAATAATGACATACGCTGGGGACAATTTTTGGTAGATGGTAGTGCAACATAAGAGAAAAAAGGGAGAGAGAGGGAGGTAGAGAGGAGGGAGGGAGAGAGAGAGAGGCGATTTTACGCTCGAGGTACGCCTAGGCTAACTTTCTCCGCGGGGGAAAAACCGCCATGGATACGTTACCTAACCTGACGCGCGAAGTCCGCCTTGCAGTCGCTGACTCGCACGTCTCCCCTTCCCCCTCTCTCGCGCCCTCCTTGCCCCCTCTCCTCTCCTGTTCTCTGCTCCCGGCAGTCTCCCTTTCCCTGCGCGACCATCGCCCTCTTCGCTAACCCCCGTCGTTTATTTACATACGCTAACACATTGTCGTCGCGTTGGCGGTCTCGCGTGCGCCCTTCTTCGTCGCCGCTGTCACTGTTAATCTCGCGACAGCGAAATGTTTTAACATTAAATGTCGTCTTGACGCAGTGCCTGGGATGATGTTGGGGCATGAAATCAAGGGGCGAATCGCGTTACGAGATTCGTGGAATTAATTGGCGCCGGCGAACTCGCAAACGCGCGCGATCGGAAGTGTCGCGAATTTCGGCAGATCAAAGAGCGAATAGAATTACAAGCGACGAGATTCGTCGGCGAATGACGTTAGTCACTCGAAGAAGATGTTAATCAAGTTACGTTGAAATTGTGTTTCTCTTTGTAATGTTTTTTACAATGCTCTTTTGTAAAATTAGTCTGAAATTACAGTATAAATTTACACTAAAAAGAAATACATGGTAATGGAAACTGTATGATAGATGACAACTAAACGAGTTTTGTATGTAGAATCAATGTAAATTGTTTAATTAATTACTTTGTAATTATTGCAATCAAAACTGAATGGTTAAGAGAATTGTATAGAAAATTGGAAGACTATATATAGTTATCATAATCATTTAGTTTTAGTTGCAATAACTAAAAATATCTAAATTCTATATAAGAATACAGAATAGAGAAATAAGAATACAGGTCTAAGAATAAGAATATAGAGAAAAGAATAAGAATATAGAGAATAAGAATACAGGTCTTTCTTTGTTAAAAAAATCTTATAAAATATTTAACTTATAAAATATATTTTTGCAAAATATATAAAATATATTTTTGCAAAATATATAAAATATATTTTTGCAAAATATATAAAATATATTTTTGCAAATATTAATAGTTTGTTAGATTCTACTATATGAGTTTAATGTAATTTGTTGAATAATTTGTTAAACTATAGTTTTAGTTACAATAACTACAGTTTATCTAAATTCTACAATATTAATAGTTTATTAGGTTCTACTATATCAGTTTAATATAATTTATTAAACTATATATATTATGATTCTGCATACTCGTATAATTGTCACCTATATGGTTACCACTATCGTGCAATTTTCTTACTATTGCGCTTATAAAGATAGCAAATTCGACGATTTACCGAATATACAAGATATAATAGACACTCGAATAATTGCAATAATTTTGCAGTAAAAAGTCAAATGCGCATAACACTTTTAAACAAGTATTTTTAAACAAGTATTTTTACAGAAATTTCGGTCATAATTCCGTACGGACCGAGATTACAAAAATTCCGTTGTAATTTTTGCTACAGTATGTTCCCGGCATGTGCGTTACAAACGGGATTACGATTGCAGAGAATTTGCATTACATTAACGAGATGATTTTTACACACGTCCGCTTAAGAGATTCCACGAAAGCTGACCGACGGCGCGAAAAAAAAATGCGACTCTCTAATGAGCGATTTCATCGAGAAAGAAGCGCGCCCGTCATCGCGCTGGATATTATATCATTGTCGCGGTCTTTGGCAATTAAACGTAGCTCGGGCCTCGACTAAATTTAGACTCCGTTGCACGCGCCATCTTAATATTAGGTCATCAAAAGGGGACAATAGTGGGCCGCTGAGCGAATCAAAAGGGCAACGACGTCGTGTATCGCTCTTCCGAGCAATGGCGCGCGCTAATTAGACGAAAATGTGTTCCAGCACCGCGTAGCACATTGTTCATTATCGTGCAGCAGTGTACGGAAAAAATAGGAGTATCGGGGCTAGAGCCCGCGCACACAGTAATTTTCAATCGTAGCCTTTCTCGCCACACGCGCGCGCTATTAAAAATTAACGCGACATCGCGATATCTGTTCACGCAGTACGTGCGGCCTCTATGCACCTCTATATATATGTGTGTGTGTGTGTGTGTGCGCGCGCGCGCGCGCGCATAGCAAGATATCGAAATTGTTTTATATATTTCTGCGCGGTTATATTCGTTCTACACAAATAACAGTCGGGTCGTAGCACTTGCCAAAAGTTAATGGCGATTTAGTCACAATGTCGGTTCAGTCGCGACTGTTTGAAAGCGGCAGCAATGGGGCGAATTACTCCCTCCCTCCCCCGGTCCCCAAAACCATTCGACCACAATACGAGCTTCGATCGCTGCACAACTGTAAACGATGTTTCTCACTGCGAACGCGCTGCTATACCGGGTGGTACTTGCGTCAAATTCTCGCGCGATATTTTCTCCGTTTTGCTTCCCCCCCCCCACCCTAGAGAATTTTCATCAGAGACGCCTAACTATCGTCAGATTCGAGTGCACGCTAAAAAGCATCACAGCTACTCAACTCGTCTCGTCCAAGCGGCGAAAAAACGTCTTTGGCAGGCGCGGCCTCGACTCTCGTCCGGTGAGAAATCGCGAACGGTGCATTCGTAATATTTGATCGTTTTTTATATTCCTTTATTTTTATTTTTTCTTATCGAACAGAGCCGCGAATGACAATCGTTTTCGGGCACAACTCGCGGAGGCAAGAAAAGGTAGGTGCTTGGCGTCGAGAAATCTGTCGTGTATCAAAGGCTCGATGGAGAGCTCGGGGAGGTGAGGGCGGGGGAGAGGCCTGAGAACGTCCTACCGTCTCTGTACTTTTGTGGGCGAGAAACGCGCCCGTCGATATCCGCATTACGTATGCTCCGGGTAACGCGGATAATCGCGTAACGGACGTACGTAGGGTGGCAGCTCATAATTCGGGGGCGTTATTCGAGAGTTCGTCGGTCGACGTACGCCATCGATATTCCGCCGAAACGAGAGACGTCCGGCGTCGGTGGCGGGCGGTGCCATATTGAACGAGAGAGGTTCGAGAGAGCGCGCGCGACGGAAAGAGGGAAGGAGAGAGGGAAGGAGGGAGGGAGGGAGGGAGAGAGAGAAAGAGAACATGAGAGAGGTGGAGAAGAGAGAGAGAGAGAGAGAGAGAGAGAGAGAGAGAGAGAGAGAGAGAGAGAGAGAGAGAGAGAGA